TTGCCGTTTTTGTAACGAAAACTGCATTAGGCTTGCTTTCAGAGCAGGCTGACAGATATTTGCCTAGAATCTTGTTCCATCAAACATGTATCCATTTACAGAAGAGGTTCATTTGAACGTAGAAAAAGCGGGAGCCCGGACAAGTGTGTGTGGTCAACGTTTCATTTAAAAATAACACAAATTTTCAAAAACACTTTATAAATAAAGCCTATACAGAGTGGAACCTAGTTATTGTTTGTGATTGCTACTTTTTTTTTTACCAATTCATGTTTGTCTGTTAAAATAAAAATGTACATGGACAAAATTTAGGAAAAAAGATCACCGTTAATTACAGTTTTTGATCGTTTTTTTTTTTAGAAATTTAAACTAGAAAAGTAGTTATTGATCAAGACTTCGATAAAAAATCATGACAAAAAAGATTAGAACTTATATAAAAGTACTTTAAATCAACGAAAAAAATGTCCGAAATCTGAATATTTATAAGTACGGCCAATTAAAGATTAATTTTGACTATAGATCTTTTTTTACATGTTTATATAAAATCACTCAGACAAGAACTCTGAGTACAGGAATACGTGTGAAATGGTTTTTGAAGCAGTTTTATTTATTTGACATCATGTTTGTATTAAAATTGCCCATCAGCAAGTTGGCCAACAATAAAGTGAGCTACAAGAATGTCATATACATGTACATATACTACTACATTAACTGGTTTTTTTTAAAATTATATTGGGGATAACGGAAGTGCTATTTATAGATTGTTCTATATTTAATTATTTGTTACGCCCCCTATAAATATCTGACCAGTCCGGTTAATCACCCCAGACGCTATATTTAAATATGCGTCTGTGTAATCGAGACTATGAAAACAGATGCAGAAATCGACGTTGATGGGATGTTTTAAGTAATGTGGACAACTCGTCCCCGAGACAAGTCGGACCGAATCCACTCAAACCGTCTAAGAGGACAACTTTGACCGTTTGTCAGATTTACTTATAGTCTCGCTGCACCAGAGTTATCGTTCTTACTGCGAACAATAACGTCTGGTAGCAATTGTTGAGATATATGTTATATTCATGAGCCTCTACTACGATCTGTAGGTTTTTTTCCTAATACGCGATTGGATGGCATTTACATGTTGAATAATAAACTCCTCCCATACTTCAATAACAACAACATGGTCGAAGAGCACATGTATCGTGCTGTTTTATTTTAAAGACGAGAGTTTTATCTTTTATTTAGATGCATTTAGTAATGATTTGTTTTAAAAGGGAGATGAACAAAATATTTTCAATGAATGTGTAAAACTCCTGTTTTTAGATATAAAAGAATCTTAAACTAGGATTTAAAAAATATTTCTATATAAATCTTGGTTAAAAAATAATATATTTTGTTTTTTGGTATAAAAAAAAAAGCATTATAAATCTCGAATCCATTCTCCACCTTATCAAAAATTAAGATGAATGATCGAACTATTTATTAATAGCAAGTTTTGATTTCAGCTTATTGACACCCCTCTCGGATTTTTTTTGTGGGAAAAAATGGGCTGATTATACTAGGGAATCGATAGAGCAGACTGCAGCGGGCACCTCTTAGGCAATCAGTGAAAATTTCTAGATACGCCATTGCCACTTCATGTAAAATTACGTACACGCTTTGTTTATTCTATCAACAAAATTGGGTTTTCGTGGGGTGGGGTGGTACACGAATCTTTTATCAGGATCAATACAATAGCGAATATTGTGTTTTAATAGCTTGACAACAACTGAACTGAGTGCTTTTACTTCCCCCTTTTCTATTTTTCTTTTTTTTTAGTTTGGGAAGTTGATTGATTTGTTGCTCGAAAAATAGTTTATTCATATTCTAGAAGACTGCAAGCTGTATACCAAGCAGCTATATATATTAACAGATTGATCACTATTGGTATCAAACATATATTAAATGTTTTACATTTGATTTATTTATTTTGTTTCTTTCAAATTTCTAGATTTGTATAATTTGAACGCTGAACCAAGGATTTGTATAGTTACTATACAAATCCTTGGTTAAACCTCATAGATTTAATCATACCTTTATTTAATTTTCAGCTCTGCTCTTATCCTGACACGGTAGAAATTGGACATAACTGCTCAAATTAAACATGATGCTTTTTTGTATATAATCAAGTGAAAATAATCCGACCGGGGAGGTTGGTTGCATTTGAAAATGCATATTTTTCACATTAACATATATATTATAAAGATTTAATATAACTCCTCAATATTGTAAATCTTTAATACTAACATTGTCTCGCTGTTTTACACGGCTAATAGTTTCATGCGATGGTAAAGACCCCTGTCTATTTCTTTGGAAAGAACGAGGGGGCTTTCCCATCGCAAGAAACATGCCTTTGTTGCTTCTTGTTGACGGTGTCACTGGTTTTGAAACGAAAAAAGCGCTGTCCATTTGTTTTTATATGTGTGTAGTTATTTTGCAAAAAAAAAAAAAAAAAACATAGAGAAAAAGTAACTGAAATTTGTCAATGATGACCACGGAGACAGAGTAGGGAAGTCATAAACAAGACACATTGGTGGTCTTTGGCTGCTTTATGCTCTTTGGTCGGGTTGTTGTCTCTTTGACACATTCCCCATTTCTATTCTCAATTTTATCAAAATAAATCAGTATGACTGCTGTGGATAGTAAACTTGAAATTGATAGTAAATAGCAAATACAAGTTATTTGTAGTATATTCATGACACAGAAAAACGGGAAAATTTTGATATTTTTAGGGAAAAAATTTACGGGTATTGGAAAAAGGGCGGGGGCTAAAAAATTGTCCTGTCCCCAATTACCTATGAAATGACGTGGGTTAAAGCAATTGTAGTCCACCATACGGCCTTCACTGAACTATCGGAGCAAAACCATTTCCGTATAGTCATCTAAACCATGCCGGACATAACCAAATGTATAACTTGAAATTCAAAAGGAAAGCCCAACGGCATAATGAATGACAAAATAATAAACGAGAAAAAAATTACAGGCAGCAACCTTCAACTACTGAATTACATGTTCCTAGCTTTCATTAGCTAGTGGCGTACATAATCGTGCTGTGGATTGCAAGACACACATATATAAGAGCTTATCTAAAAGTGCTGAAGCATCACAAAGTAAGAATAAAATGTAGAAATCAGTTGGACATTGCTGAACTCGTTAAGATCGACACGATACATAAAAATTCTGCTAGTCATATCATCATTGATAAGTCTAAAGATTAAATTAGTGAAAATTGTTGCTGTAACAATTAAGAAAACCACACCAGTGTCATTTTTATAGATGAAGATCAATGAATGGAAGTATGGGGCACTGAGACTGGTCAGAATGTTAATATGTATATGGTGACACTCTTAATACAGTTGCAGATCCAGACCTCTTTTTTTTTGGACGATCAATGCATTTTAATGGGTACATATGGAACCCACCTATTTAAAATGGCTGGATCCGCCCCTCTAATGTGTACCTATAGATGGTTGTTATATTTGATGCTGCACAGCCATACATTAGACTGTTAATGACGTCTTTACACTTAATCCATTGGATGTTGGATGTGTGCTTATTGATCCTCGTCTTAGATACAGATTTTTTTACAAGTTGTTATTGGCTTTGAACTAGCTGTCAGTAACTGCCAGTACTATTATATCTGTACTTGGTTTCTTTTTTGTTGTAGGGATGTATAAATACAATATGAGTTCAGCCCTAATCAACTGATTTTCATTGTTTGTTCATATATTGTACTGTTAAACCGCTGTCTCAGGTTAGAAGGAGGGTTGGGCGCTGACCAACATGTTTAAGCCCGCCACATTCTGAATGTGCCTGTCCCAAGTCAAGAGCCTGTAATTCAGTGGCTGTATATCATATTTGTATTTCGTTAATTGTGTTTTTTTTTTTACATAAATCAGGCTGTTAGTTTTCTCTCTGGAATTGTTTTACATTTCTCATTTTGTGGCCTTTAATAACTCATTATGCAATATAGGTTTTGCTCATTGTTAAAGGCCATATGGTCACATATAGTTGTTAACTTCCATGTCATTTGCTCTCTAGTGGAAAGTTGTCTCATTGGCAATTATAAGCACATCTTTTTATCTTTATATTAACTAACTTATTGATGTCTAAAGAATGTAAGTCCAGACTGTATTGTATGTAAATGTTCACTGCAAAAATGAAAAGACTGAACAATGGAAAGATATATTTGTAAAAGAGGGACGAAAGATACCAGAGGGACAGTCAAACTCATAGATTGAAAACAAACTGACAACGTCATGGCCAAAAATAAAAAGACAAACAGACAAATAATAGTACAGATGACACAACATAGAAAACTAAAGACTAAGCAACACGAACCCCACCAAAAACTGGGGGTGATCTCAGGTGCTCCGGAAGGGTAAGCAGATGTAAAGTTTGCTTCAAACAATATCTTCCATACATCAATTTTAAGCAAATCTGCCCAAGTTTCTTTACATTCTAGGAATGTTTGACTTGTTTTTTTATGCATAAACCCAAGAATGTAATCTTTATCATGTTTATATAAAAATTGCCAAAAAATCAGTCCCTATCAGAAAAATACAGCAACATTAAATAAAATATTTTGCACTGAATACTTTCTTTTGATCGTAGAAAAATTCTGTTAAAGATTTGAAAAAAAATTAAGAAAGTTTCACCAAGTTATTGATGTCTAAAACAAGCTGAAATGTGTTGCCTGCTTGAATGATTTACATTATTAGCCTTAAAGATAAAAGTTTATTACAAGTTAAATATTACTAATGATCCATGACAATGAGGTCAAGGTCAGATAAACCAAGCTAGACAGACTAGTACACCTTACAATCATACCATAAACCAAATAGACATTTATAGACATTTTGTTTATAGTATCTTCGAAGAGGATCCAACATTTGAAACATTACACTGACTTATGATCCATGAACATGAGTTCAAGGGCAGATAAAACATGCCAGTCAGACATGTAAACTTTACAATCAATCCAAATGATAGCATCTTTGGTGTTCATTATATTTCATTAGGTAAATGTTGTCACTTTTTAAACAAATTGAAAACTCAACACAGTTTTAATCATTTTATAGTTCATTATAACTTGTTTGTTTTGCACCATTGAAAATATTTACAGCTTTTTCTTGTTCAATGAAGTAACTGTCATCGCTATATGAATTTCATCAATGCATCCAAATTTGATTTAGTCATCATCCACAGCAAATTGCAAAGATCATTCATAGTGCTGAATCTCCTCTCTTCTCCTGCTATTGATGGTAGAATTAGCAAGCAATAGTAGTGTAATGTAATCTAAAGGGCTGGAGTTTTAGCTCTGCAGAACATTGTAAATATCAGTATCATATATATACTTCATGAATGGTTCTCTGCATCTTATTTTCCCTAAAAAGATATGACACAAGATCAGATTTATTAATTGGAGACACACATTATGTATTTGAAGAATTACTGCATGCTTTTACTCTTTTAATTGCTTGGAATTTGACTATATGGAGCATTAGGTTTAGACTGTTAAAACTGTATATTGATATGTTCCTTTGGTTATTTTTGTAGTTGAGTTGCTGTCTCATAGGACCCCACATCTCTTCAAACAGTGTTAGCTCCATTTAATGATCTTCAAAAAGATTCATATAAAAGCTAAAATCAAAAAGGTTATTGTGTATAAATTAAGTGCTTTACTTCTTCCAATTAAAGAGAGGTGTATCAAAATGCATTGAACAAAGTTAAAACATTATATTCTTCATAAAATATGTCTAAATAAAAAAGTTAAAGACTTAAATTATATTAAATGTTTTTATGGAAACTTAAGACAGGACCATATGTATATACATTAATTTCTTAAAGCCTTACAATTTCAGCTTTTAAAATCTTAGGGCATGGAAAGTCTCCTGTCCTTTGACAAATGAAATTATTCTCCTTCAGTTGTTCTTTGACAAATGAAATTATTCTCCTTTAGTTGTCCTTTGACAAATGAAACTATTCTCCTTTAGTTGCCCATCATGTCCATAGAACTGTGGTAACTTTTTGCAACTCCATCATGTTAAAAAGAAGTGCTAGAAAAATACAAGTAATGGAATAATCAAGTTATAAAATGTAGAATTTTGAGTCACAATTTATCATTATAAATGGTTAATTTTAATAAGTATACAATGAATAAGGTCTCTGTTCTAATTTGCATGGTGGCAAAATAATGAATAATAGCCCACAGCCATAATATTGATGGTAATTATAAACAAATGAAATTATATTCACTCATTGTCAATCATGGTTGTGGTTGGAACAAAAAAAAAAAAATTACATAATTACTACGGTAATATTTCTTTAATCGATAAGTTCATCATAAATATTTTACAACTCTCTATGATCTAGAATACCAAAATATCACTAACCAGTGAGTTGTGGAATGCATGCTTGTAGAGTTCTCGAAATCTTTTTTTCCCTGGTGGTCCTACAAGAAAACCTGTTGGTCCTCACTATAATTTCTGTTGCAAAATAATAACCAAAGTTGTGACGGTCCTTTAAAAAGTTTGGTGGTCAAATCTTTGGACCACCAGTTTTTCGAGAATTCTGTGCTTGGTTACATTACATTTGATTATAAATGATTAAATCAAATGTAAATGAAATGAACTACATGTTGTTATTGAAATTCTATTGGTTATTTCAAAGTCATTTAATCAAGTATAGATTCACCATATCATTAAATTTATCAAAAAAAAGCAACATGAAATATATTGGGAGTCCCTGGGGTCACCCCAACCCCTCCTGTTTGAGAACTTGGAAATGGTTGAGATCCCCACCCCTAAACCATATATATTCATGTATGGGACAATAAAACAAATCAAATGAAATATAGGGGGAGTCCCTGGGGACAACCACGCCCCTCCTGTTTGAGAACTTGTAAACAGTCAAGATCCCCACCCCTAAACCATATATATTCAGGTATGGGACAATATCACAAATCAAATGAAATATATGGGGAGTTCCTCGGGTCACCACACCCCTCCTGTTTGAGAACTTGGAAATGGTCGACATCCCCACCCCTAAACCATATATATTCATGTATGGGACAATAAAACAAATCAAATCAAATATAGGGGGAGTCCATGGGGACACCCCAACCCCTCTTGTTTGAGAACTTGTAAACAGTCAAGATCCCCACCCCTAAACCATATGTATTCATGTATGGGACAATATAACAAATCAAATGAAATATAGGGTGAGTCCCTGGGGTCACCCACCCCCTCCTGTTTGAGAACTTGTAAACGGTCGAGATACCCACACCTAAACCATATTTATTCCTGTTCATCATTTCAAAAAGATTTGAATGACATACAGGGTCAATCTCCTTGGTGTCACATATGCATATCACTTTACTAGATCAAACCAATATGAACTGGACTTTGCCCAATGTCAGGAGACCATGGGAATGACGAATTATGGGGGCTTTGTTTGGGAGACTTCGACCGTAACGGCATCTTGTTACAATTATTTCTTGTTAATTATAAATTTTTTTTTATCCAAAAAATGAGTCTAGATTATTGAATTTACTTTAATTGTTTATTAAATTATTTCTGGGCCTATACTAATTTTCATTTATGGCTCATTTTAAAGAAAACATATAAATCTTTCGAGCAGTGTAAAGCCCGAGAATAATTGACCAACTGTTTTATAATCACCTGTCATTTTATTCCAACCTTGGAGTAACATCATGCACTTGGGGGTGAAGATGTGAGTCATTTACATTGATATACGAGTTGCTTTTGAAAACCTTGATGAAATATTAATTAATTTGCCTTAATAATCAATTCATTTAATGAACATAAATGTACAATATACGAATGTTTAATGTTTGTTCTTTCAAATCTTAAAAAAAATTTGAAGCAACATTGCCACAGTTTTCATAATTACGTTTGCCTTGGTTTTTGGTTAACTGACTACAGCGCTTACAGTGCTTTGATTGGAGAATATCTTTTAAACTAGAGCCATTAGATCCAAACTGACATGAGTAAAAATGATATGCAAAACGTCTATCTCCTTTGAAAATTTCACACAAATAGGACAACTCATTTTGCCCTTGAAATGTCTATTTTTGTATCGCCTGAGACTTTTGTCGCAGTGTGCAACATAGGGATTACTATCTGGTGGCAGCGTACACTATCTGTATAAAGCTTTATAGTTCAGAAGGTAGAAGACCTGGATGCTTCATACCTTGTATGCAGATACCTATATTACGAAGTTTCCATCTGTCATATGTCAATTATCCTTGGCCTCATTTCAGGGACTGCTTGAAAAAGGTTTTTTTTGTCATGTGAATTTCTCACTTGTGTGTAATAGGATAACTATATTTGGTATATTGGTTCCTTGCAACGTCTTATGTCCGTGAGACAGAATTCACCTGACCTCCACCTCATTTCATGATTAGGTCTAATTCTCAGATACTATAAGCAGTAGGTCAACTATATTTGGTGTATGGAATGATTGTAAGGGGTACATGTCAGTCTGGCGGGTATCATTGGTTAATGTAACGTTTTTTGTTTGTTTGTCTGTTTTTCTTGCTATAACCAGTTGGTCAACTATATTTGGTGTATGTAATGATTGACCTTGACCTGAATTTCATGGTTCATTAGTCAATTTTAAGTTTTTGTGATAATGTCTGTTTTCAATTACCATAAGCAATACTATTAGGTTAACTATATTTGGTGTATGGAATAATTGCAGGGTGTACGCATGTCTGTCTGACAGGATTTTTCCGACCTTGACCTCATTGTCATGGATATTTAATGATGTTAAGTTTATGTGATACTTCTAGTAAAACTTTCAACATAAAATCAATGGTCAGCGTATACACTCTGGTTAGAAATTTTGCAGTTTTTGGTTATATCTTGAAAACTTATAGTCATTTTAAATAGTAAAAATTAACAACAATTACTCAACATTGCTGCCGAAATCATCAATTGACCCCTATAAGAGTTATTGGGTGATTTTAACCCATTTTTTTGCAGAAACTAAAGCATATACATATAATATTTTAGTTGTAAGAATAATCAGCTAAGTTAACATCCAAAATCGCACATTGATCCGTTATAAGAGTTATTGCCCTTGCCCGTAAGAAACGAAAGAAATAAGTGAACATGGCCTAAAGAGTCAATTGATATATAAATAAAAATTGGTATCATTGCCAATGAGACAACTCTCCACCAGAGAACAAATAACATAGAAGTAAGCAACTTATATGTATTAAATGCAAAAATGACGGAAATCATTTGATTGGTTACTCCAAATAAAGGTTAATGACGATTTATTTCCAGATCTCTCCAGTTTTTATACGACCGCAAAAATTGAAAATTTTTTGGTCGTATATTGGTATGACGTTGGCGTCGTCGTTGTCGTCGTCGTCCGGCGTCGTCCTGCGTCGTCCGAAGACACATTGGTTTTCGCACTCTAACTTTAGTTTAAGTGAATGGATCTCTATGAAATTTTACCATAAGGTTCAATACCACGAAAGGAAGGTTGGGATTGAATTTGGGGGTATGGTAACAACAGTTAAGGAATTAGGGGCCAAAAAGGGGCCAAAAATAAGCATTTTTGTAACTTCCAGACAATAACTTGTGTGTAAGTGTATGGATCTCTCTGACATTGTACCACAAGGTTCCATTTCACAAAGGGAAGGCTGTAATTGATTTTGGGGGTAATTGCCTCAAAATTTTAGGAATTAGGGGCCAAAAAAGGGGCAAAAAACAAGCATTTTTCTAGTTTCATGACAATAACTTGTGTGTAAGTGTTTGGATATTTCTGAAATTGTACTACAAGGTTCCATATCACAAAGGGAAAGCTGGAATTGAGTTTGGGGGTAATTGCCCTAAACGTTTAGGAATTGGGGGCCAAAAAGGGGCCAAAAATAAGCATTTTTCTAGTTTCCAGACTATAACTTGTGTTCAAGTGTATGGATCTCTCTGAAATTGTACTGCAAGGTACCATACCACAAAGGGAAGGCTGGGATTGAGTTTGGGGGTGATGAATCACAAGGGGGTTCAAAAAATTTGGGGGGGGGGATTTTTTTTTTCTTTTTTTTTTCTTTTTTTCCTTTTTTTTTTCTTTTAAAATTTTCCATTTTAAGTTGGTTATTTCTGATTTATATTTAAAAGCAAATAATAATGATATGGTAGGAGATACACACCAAACAGGATGTGTAAATTATTATATAATAAGTATTGTGCAATAGCAAGAAATTTTCAATTCCACAGTATTGCACAATAGCAAGAAATCTTCAATTGCACAGTATTGCGCAATAGCAAGAAATCTTCAATTGCACAGTATTGCGCAATAGCAAGAAATATCCAATAGCACAATATTGCGCAATAGCAAGAAATTGTCAATTGTACAGTATTGCGCAATAGCAAGAAATATTCAATTGCACAGTATTGTGCAAAAGAAGATACTTCGTATAAATTGCTTATTTCTTGATCAATTTCAATGGGGTTTTATTCTTGAATTCTCGGGGTTCTTTAATATGCTGAATCTAACCGTGTATTAAGTTTTTGGATTTTGGGCCCTGTTTTTAAATTGGCCCACATTGAGGTCCAAAGGGTCCAAAATTTAACTTTGTTTGATTTCATCAAAAATTGAATTATTAGGGTTCTTTGATATGCCGAATCTAACCGTGTATTTAGATTCTTAATTTTTGGTTCCGTTTTCAAATTGGTCTACATTAAGGTCCAAAGGGTCCAAAATTAAACTTAGTTTGATTTTAACAAAAATTGAATTTTTAGGGTTCTTTGATATGCTGAATCTAAATATGTATTTAGATTTTTGATTATGGGCCTAGTTTTCAAGTTGGTCCAAATCGGGGTCCAAAATTAAACTTTGTTTGATTTCAACAAAAATTGAATATATGGGGTTCTTTGATATGCTGAATCTAACCATGTATTAAGATTTTTGATTTTTGGGCCCCGTTATCAACTTTGTCCACATTGAGGTCAAAAGGGTCTAAAATAAAACTTTGTTTGATTTCATCAAAAATTGAATTCTTGGGGTTCTTTGATATGCTGAATCTAACCATGTATTTAGATTTTGGATATTGGACCATAATAGGTGAATGTCCTATTTAAAATTTTTAAGTTCTTAGACCACATTCATTCTGTGTCAGAAACCTATGCTGTGTCAAATATTTAATCACAATCCAAATTCAGAGCTGTATCAAGCTTGAATGTTGTGTCCATACTTGCCCCAACTGTTCAGGGTTCGACCTCTGCGGTCGTATCAAGCTGTGCCCTGCGGAGCATTTTATTTGCCTGTCATCTCGAAAACTAAAAAAAGGGTTGAAACTATTATTAGCAAAAATTTTTGACAGATTACTTAATCATGCTCTTATGAGCCGGTATTTAATCTGCAATTGTGTGGGACTAGCTCATTGTTAGAAACCAAACAAATCTCCACACAAACTCTTGCAGCAAGTAAAGGTGTATACTGCCTATTGTAACAGGAATTTTTCTGGACTTTCAGTATTGTTTAAATAGCGAACTTCTTATCCGCATCTCGTACGATAATTGGTGTTTTCTCTACTTCCAGTGGCAAATATTTCATGTATAGTACACTTGAAAGAATATAACAAATATTTAACAGAATTTGCAATAAGTGAAATTTTCACCTTATGCTAACAAAATATCACGATGCTTTGTTGTACAAAAATGGGTTTTCAGTGTTCATTTAATGATGCAATAAAGGGTGGTATTTCTACTGAATAGGTTAAATCAACCACTGGATCACATATGCACCTAGGTTTGAACCTTACTTAGTATGTGAAAATCAACTTGGCGCGTCAGTGGTCCTTTGATATTCGTTGTAACAAATATGCTAAACTAGACACCTGTATATTGTTAGAAGACTATATATATGATGCCCTCTAGAAGTATTTTGGTTACTTTTTACATCGGATGTGACCTTGAGAGGTCATACCGGTGTTATGTTGCCGCAGAAATTTCCTTGCGCTTTGACTGATAACTTGCCGAACGTATTTCGTATAAATACGCGGATATTATCGAGTGCAAAATAACTTTCCTTATCGCTTGTTATAACTTCATTTCTTCAATGAATACTCATGAAATTATTTGTTAAGAACATAAATAAATGATATGAAAATGTTTTGTTGTGAGAAATATATAAATCAGTAACAAATCATGAATACCGAAAATTTGTGTTAACGCATGCGGAAGAATATCTCGAGAGATGATATGCTATATATATATAACTGTTATACAGATATTAATATAATATATAACAACAAACCAGAATATACTGGTAACAAATGATTATATCTCTACAATATAATAATTATTACGGTGAGGTTAAATTCCCTATCATTTATTCATCATCCACACAGGAACAAAATATATCTATATATGTACCTTAACCTAACTTTCAGGTATAGAGATATGATTTTTTTTCTGAGACCATTCACCAGAACTTGCGGTCATCCGATGTTCAGTTCTTCAGTACTTTGATTTTATTTGGTTACTGCCCTTTGATTTTAACCACTACTTTTTTTTATTAATATCCAAGGGAGTTTGAAATTTATTTGAATCACTTGTATTTTTCTTACAGAAATTAGTTGACAATGATGATGGTATCTTTGGTTAGTTTTTACAACCAAATGGCTTGATGCATGCCATTTCTGGTAGAAGTGTCGTCCCCGTGGGTATCACCATTCCGGTAATCACCTTGGACTGCCGGCACTTACTGTTTTGATTCGAGCGCCCATTGATGAGTCTTTTGCATATTTGATCATATATGAAATTGCTTACATATTTTTCATGTTTTTTTTTAAATTTACTACTTTTTTCAACATAACAGGTTACTGTACTTAATTTTTTTGTGAAAAGTTTATAATAAAATATTTTCTATAAGATTTGATTTTAGCGTCTGTTTGAATATTTTTTTCCTAATTATAACGGTCGTTGATCATAGAAAAATATGAATTTGACGTCCTATTTTCTGAATTGACTGGACGTTTTTCAGATAATATGATGTTTTTGGGGTATTCAGTTGTGTAATGAACGGTTGAATTATACTTCAGTTAACATTTTCTACTTGTTCTTGTTAATGTTGGCACATGTCCGGAGACAGTATTATGTAAATGGTGGTTTTAAGTAATCTTTCCATTTTTTCGCTCTCTGAATTTGACTGATTTTTTTCTACATATACATCATAGTCTCCTAAGTGAAAGATAGTGTATCATTTTTGCCACGGAAGTCGAAAAGGACGATACAACAGGTCAAATTATCGACAAACGTAGTTTGTCGATACCCCCACCCCCACACCCCCTCCACCCCTACCGAATTTTTTCTCGCAATCACATCAAGTGAAGATTTTCCGGAGTTATGACTCTTAAACTAAAAGAGTATTGCATTTCATGGATTTTTTTTTAAAACGGATAGAGATATTGACCTGATTGTGACGCTTGTTCATGATATGATTATTTACTGACCCGGTTCGAGTTTGTGTATTACTGAAAAATATCTCTGCTTTGAGAAGTTGAAAGACCTACAACAGTTCAAATCGAACCGGAACTAATCGATCCCTAGAGTGTAATTACTTGAAACTTAATAGTTCATGAAATATATATTTCGTTCAGCCAGCTTTTCAAGAGAGAGATTTCACTAAAGAAAAATGTCAGTATCTGCATCAAGTAGAAACAACAGGACCAATTTTTACGATAGGCGTCAGAAGACACTTATATGAGAGAAGAAACGTTCTGTAATAGGCTAATATACATAGTAATCAGTTTAAAAATAGAGAAGGGGTGGAGGTAATCATGTTTGTCCCCTTTACGGTTGCTCATAGACTCTTGAAGGAACAATTTATGCCTTGTCTCCTTTTTCCCCTTCTCCTGTTAGATCATTTTTGGGCTAATAGTATGGTTGTGAAAAAAGAAAATAACAGATGCGAAGGTTCAAAACCACCATTGAAAATGCGAAAACGCTTATATTATCTGATTAACAAATGGATAACTTCAGATGCAATAATTCCTGACTTGAAACTATCTTTCCATCGACAACAGCTAATGGAAAGTTGTTCACAGTGCTCAATTTCATTTTACATACCGATATTGTGATTAAGAAGAAACGATACCAATAATAAATGAACGAGAAAAAAACATATAGCATTTAAATACTTTATTTACTAGTGTGTATAAATAACTTAGGATCTGAACAAGCTAATTTCACAGGGCTGAGCAATATCACAGAATATTTTGAGATTGACTAGGGTCTTCTATATAATTTTATAAATAACATAACTATATACAAAAAGTTCTTTAAAATGGATCTGGTCAGATCTGTCATCTGAGCAAATATGACAATTTTACAATAATTTGCATTGTCTTGTTGTTTATTTCTCAAAATCAATTATTTACGTAGTTTAATAAATTTCTTCCATGTTACGTCCTGTTATCCGAAGACTGGATGCCACTGAAAAATATTGAAATGATAAATTTGTGAAAATAGATCATTAACAGTTTTATAAGTAATTACAATTATAAGTAATTACAGTAAGTATATGCATTCAGTTTTTAACCTAAATCTCCTTTATTATATATCCGCAACTATGAATAAACACAAGCACAGCTTAAAAAATACTAGTGTTATCTAAAAACTGTATTTAATAACATCATTTTTCAACTTTTGATGATTCTTGACAATTCAATACTGCTTTTTCCAAGATGTAAAAAAAGATTGTAATGATAATGTAATGTGGATTAATACATTTTTTTCTCCTCAGGTAAATCTAGGGGGAATATTTCAGATTGCTTCATCGGCCCTTATATATATATATATATATATATATATACCATATATATATAAGGGCCGATGAATCATATCGAAATGAACAAAAATACATTTAAGGTATAACATTCCATTTGTATAGCCCTTTCCGCGATTGTTTTGCCTATATGTCTTTTCGTCCAAATGTACGGCACACCCAGCTCGATCAGCTTGTTGTTTTTTTAAGCTTGAAACTTTGTTTGCTTAATATTTGCTCATATGTGAAACGTTCGCATATTGTCTGGATTTTTCTATCTTCAACCTCTTTCACAAAATTATACTTTTATGTGAAATTGAATTTATGATCTATGGATTATTCGCTTAACTCCTTAAGTTTTCAAGCTAAAACAATTTTAATTTGCACCATATTTGTATATATATATATATACAAAAGATGCACTTATGGTCAGGATCTTTTGTTTCCATCATTTTTTTTTCTCACAAAAATGGGGGTTAATGAACTTTGCAACTATTTGGGTACACTTTGACAATGAAGATGTCTTACTCTTCTTGCCGCTTGAAAATCTGCAAGATTATTGATGTTATCTTCTGTGAAAAACATTTTTTTAAATTCTTTTTAATTTAAACCCATCAGAAATATAAAATGAGATATGGAAAATGATTCGTCAACTGGTGGTTACTGTTTTGTATTCAACCTTGTTAAATTACCTTTGCTGGAAATTGCATTATACAATAAAGCATACATGCATGCGAACTTCAAAAACAGCAGTTTCAATGTGAAAATCGGTTATTTCCTTGACGGATGACCATTAATATGATATTATACATGCAATATATAATAGAACACACCATGCAGTCAAGTTTCTTACAAGTAAATTCTTCCTTACGTAATTCATTTCATTGTTAGCTAGCAAAACATTCCATCTATACATATAAAACTCGGATATTAAGATTTAACTGTTTATATATTAGTTCATAAAACACATCAAGCATTCCCTTTACCAAAATCAGTTCAATCCAGAAAGAGGATTTGGGAGTGTTCCAGCCACTCCCAGCCAGGTACCTTTGGCTCCAATAGATTTCCTTAATCCAACTGTTAATAGCCAATCAAATGCATTATACCATAAATACAACCAATCAACATTGCCTCTCTAACTAAATACTACCGTTATGTATCTATCATTAACTAAACTATCTAGTAAGGTTTCGTCACTTTCCGCTAAAATTTGAAGATTTTAAATTTTAAATTGCAAAATTAAATACAATCTGTAGATCTTAATATCAGATATTGTTTTCTTTTTTTTTTTTTAGTTTTTTCTGTTTCCAGAGACAGAGACATGTAATACATGTATTAAATATGTCTGATGTTTTATTTCCCCCTAAAAATCATTTTTCAAATTCATTTCCTTTTTCAAAAAAAATATACCCGCTATCTCTGTTCTGTACATCAATCATGTCTGAAACTGTGTACAATAGTCTAGTTTGTACTTATAAAAATACATGCTAAAATGCTTTAAATAAATGGTGACATTTGAGGCCATAAAAAATTGGAATAAAAATGTATACTGTGTGTCATGTACAACTTAAAGAAAGTGATTTCCGAACCAATCGACCAGTAATAAAATATTGTTGTTTTAACAAATTTAGGGAATCACATTTTTTCCAATTTTTATATACATGTATTTTAAATATTGTGTATTTATCAGAGAACACAGTTTTACAAGAATTGGAAGGTGCAAATAAATTAAATGCATGCTGTGAAATCAACACCTCTCCCAGTTCTAATCTACAGTCCTTTCCCGTGATAACGTCCCACAAAATACGGTGAACAATATACAGGTATCTAAAAGGTGGGATATACCTGACAGTTTAACAGGAATATAATAATGGGGCTCTAGTGCGACCTGTTTTAAAATGATAAAATGATAAATAAATATTTAGTTTGTACAGGATTTTAATTAAGGAAAGAAGTAGTATGTATCCTTTGATCTAATGAAAGGATGTGCAAAAACATAAAAATACACAAATACACAAATTCAGTGTAACCACTAAAAGGTTCGTCGAAGTTCAAATTATCTTTTTTTTATATGATTTTCGTGAATTCAAATTTATATAAATTCAGGAAAAGCAAGGGAAAAACACAATATCGTCATTGACTTAATTAACATTCAAATTCAGCTTGGCGCAGTTTATAAACATCAAGATATTGCTTTCAACAATTTGATCTATCAAACATTAAATTAGTATAAAAGGTTTTTATTTTGAACGAAATAATGATTTAAGACATATATGTGACAAAAGTTTAAGTAAACCCTTATAAATTGAAAACCTTCACGCAAGTGGGCGTTAAACAAAGACAAACATAACTTCGGCCTCATTAAACTTGATGATACTGTGCATATTGTTTAATATATAATTAAGATATAAGATATGCATATTGGTACTCTATGTTGTTAACTGGGTAAAACATGTAATGACATTTATTATAATTAAATGATAACTGTTTGATGATATTGCTCTTCTTAATCAAAATTTGGGAACTGAAGGAAGATGATGATGATGGATGGCTGCTTAACATCCAGCGGCAAATAATAATATGCATATTCAGGACGAGAACATGTTATTGTAATAGGAAGAGAAAACATTCGCGCCCTCGCAAACTGCTACGAAAGTTCTTTCAATCTGACCTTGAGAGCAACTAGCCGTCAATCTGACCTTGAGAACAAGTAGCCGTTCAATCTGACCTTGAGAGCAAGTACCCAACAATACGACAATGGCTTTTCAATGGTATATATTTTAACGTAATTTTTAAGCAAAAACTGATCATAAACAGAATACACCAATCGGTTTGAATGATTAAAATGAGTAAAAACCCGTTCGACAATCATTAAACATAAACGGGCTTCACTGACGCAACGAAGGCGAGAAAAAATTCTTATAACGAATTACTCACTAGTTTGTCAATTTAAAGGTATCATTATGAGTTTTGAAACATGATTTGTTAGTTAAAGAGACTTACGATCCATTGGTTTATTTTGCTCTTGGTACCAATATTTAAATCCGTTTTTGGCGTGATCGTAGTAAGTAGAATTGTATTTCGGTTTCCGTTTCGTGGCAGATGGAGCTCTGTACATTGTCCTTGGATTAGCCATACTATTTGAAAAACTTATTTTTTGAGCTGGTTGTCTCTTTGGTAACATAAAGTTGTTGTCTACCTGTTTGACAGTACCTGAAACATAGTTTTCAATCCTTTAAATAAACTTATTCTAAAAGGTTGCCAATTCAACACTGTAATTAAATCTTTGAATATTGTTTTTATTTGTATAAATATTGATTTTGTTATTAATAAATTAAAACCATACTTAATATTATTGTTATACACATATGTACTGTCACGGTACTACAATCTGTACGATACCTATATTTTGGCATTGTACAAGGTCATGTTTTCTCTGACAGTAATGACGTCTTTACACTAAATCCATTGGATGTTGGATGTGTACTGATTGATATTTCAGTCTTCGATATATGATTTTTTTATTAGTTGTTATTGGTATGAACTAGCTGTCAGTAACTGCGAGTACTCTCAGATCTGTACTTTATGTCTTTTTGTTACTAGCGATGAAAGATGGATAAATACCCAGCCACGTCCTGTCTGTGTTTTTGATTGATAATTTTCTGCTTTGCATCGATCTGATGAGTTAGGCCTTTTTCAATTGATTTTTATAGTTTGTTTTTATGTTCTGCTGTTACACCACTGTCCCAGGTTAGGGGAAGGTTGAGCGCTCACAAACATGTCTAACCCCGCCACACTCTTTATGTGTCTGTACCAAGTCATGAGCCTGTAGTTCAGTGGTTGTCGTTGGTTCATGTCTGTAATATTTGTTTTTCGTAAATTGTTTTGTTAAAAATTAGACCGTTAGTTTTCTCAATTGAATTGTTTCATATTTTAAATTTCATGTCGGGCCTTTTATAGCCGACTATTCGGTATGGATTTTTCTCATTGTTGAAAGCTGCACGGTTGCCTATAATTGCTTACATCCACTTCATTTGAACTTTGGTGGATTATCTCATTGGCAATCATACTACATCTCCTTATTTTTATATTCTTAAAATAAAAATAGACAAAAAAAGCTCTTGGTGGTTCTGTAAAATTCAAGGTTTAAAGGTATGTAATATTCTTTTTCTGTCGAAAGGTGTGAGCCTTTGAAGCTAATCATATTTTTAGACTGATAATAAGCAGTTTCAATTAAGATACTTTTACTTAAGTTTTAACTTTTTACAGTTATCAACGATTCTAAGACTATCAAACTATACAGTCATTTTACATTAGAAATGAATGCTGACATTTATTGCAAAAAACTAACACCCATTTGATTATGTTTTCAATAGGTAAATCACGGTTGGTACTGTGTATAAATTAAGCACAATTTTACCTTCTACAAAAGCCATATGTGATCCTGTGTTTGCAAAACAAGATGTTATATGACGCCATCTACCACCAGCTCGCCCCATTCGGTTTAGATTCCTAAAATACAAGTACAATTTTCGATAACCTTGAGCGAGTTTTTCCTTAATTCTACACAAATAAATGTATGTTTATCACTGACTTGTGTTACCAACAAATGACTTTTAATCTATCCATGTCCAGCTTTAGTACAATTATAATCTGACTTGACAATATTCTAAACACAAATAAATTTCTTTTTTTCAAAAAAATTAGTCACTATACTGTAAGTATAAAGTTACGTCCTTAAAAATACAACGGTAAACTATATATATGGTTATTTTGTGTATATTTTAGATGTCACAATATTTATCAAAGTAACTGATGAAAGACGGTTATAGGCAATATAACCTATCACACATTTAATTGAAAAAGAAGAAATGTGGGGGAAATTCAGCACTTCCATACCCCCACACCACTGTATATAATTTTGGTCATATAGCTCCTATCGTTACAGTGTATTTATGCATTCCTGGATTTCAAATGTTTAAGTTTAGACTTTCCTGATGAAGGTAAATCCAGAAAAGCGCTTCGGACACACGAAATTTAGAGTGTTCATTTCATTTAAAAGAGGTCTCTTGAGAAACCTCATTACGAACATTACAAGCGCTGTTATTTCTTTTTTCGTTGTTGGTAAAATCATTCTCTTACGATTCTTCCATTATGATGATTTTATATGTATGTATAATAATTTATATACGTATAGACTATACAATGTAGATTATGTTGCTTGTTGAGAAATCTCTCATACCACAATAGATCATATTGACAATGAAAACAATATAGCAATAAGTTAAATAGCCATTACATGTCTGGACTTTGTGATCTGTGAAACAGCCGATTATAATACTGTCTTGTGATTGGATCTAGGGATTCCTCTGTCCTTGCAGGCATGGTCATCTCTCTCTGTAGTCTCATTGGGGGTGGGGAGGAATACCGGAAGTCGTTATTATATCCTAATCTGGATTCTGTCTGTAACACAAGTAAGAAAGTACGTTAAGTTAATGAGAAAGAAACAAAAAAACAAAGGTTCACCAGAATAAGATATCGTAAGGGGGGGGGGGGGGGGGGGGTCCACCACCATACACTCTAATTCGCGGGTCAAGCATTCACACGATAGTATGATCTTTCGCTGTATAAAAAATAAGGCGATGTGGTATGAATGACAGTAAGACAACTATTCAACAGAATCAAAGAGAGGAGAAGGATGCCATAGGGACATTTAAACTCATAAGTCGATAATAAACTGATAACGCCATGGCTAAAAAAAAAAGACAAACAGACAGACAGACAAACAAAAACAGTACGCAAACACAACATAGATAACTAATGACTGAGCAACACGAACCCAACCAAAAATTGGGGGTGATCTCAGGTGCTTCGGAAGGGTAAGCAGATCCTGCTTTACATATGGCACCCGTCGTGTTGCTCATGTATGTACAAACCAGGTGATAAGTCTAATTCGGTAGGTCACATTCGGCGGAAAGGGGACGGGATTGTAGTTACGACAATTGGAACATATCCGATGTCATCTGTGAAACAGATATTCCATAACGGTCAACCAACCGTAAAATTGCGTCCGTAATTACGAAGGGACGATTTCACCACTTGGAACTCTTGGTTTAATAGCTTCCTTGTGAGCAGCAACCCTCTGTCAAGGAAATTATGATAGGAAATACAACCCCTAGAATATCGTATCAACTGGGAGATATATAATCCGTATGCAGGTGCTGCCGTGAAATTTTGCTACATAGAAATCACAATTGGGAAGCTGAAATCATCTCTTTTGTCGTAAAGTTTTGTTTTCAACCAACCATCATTGTCAATTTCTAGATGTAAGTCAGGATACGAGACAGATTTAACTGTATCTGTTGTATCCTTTATACTAAGTTCGATGGTATAGGCATGATTATGAATAAACCCAATACCGTATAGAAAGCTACAAAACGCCTCGGGATTGCAAAATGTTATAACAATACAAAACCGAAAACGAACGATCTAATTCCAGCTAATGACTCATCCAATTAATGTCGATATGCAATATACTTCAGTTAAAGCATTGTCCCAATGGTTTTTAGAATGATACGCCGATTATACATGTAAGTTTCTACATTTGTTCTTGGAGGTTTTGACAGATTTTGTTCATCAATAAAACTAACCATTGTCAAGTGTATGTGTGGAAAATTAGGCTAAAAATATTTAGCAAATAACATTGAAAAATCATATACATAAGTATAGGTTACATATAAAGTTGTACGTCGTTGTTTGCATGAAACCAAAAAAAAACATTTAAACGACAAAGGAACCTAGCTGTTACTAGCTGCTAAAGCAAAAATCTTTTATGATAGTTGTGATCGTTCATATGGTGTTGATATTAAAAATTCATGCATATATAGGTGTTAGATCGTTATGAATGTTTAATGAGTAATACCAATTATAGGTGACAATAAGGCAGCAACCAAACGACACAAAATAAACTTTGATATGCATATGTGAATATATTTCATTTTATTTGTTACATCTGAAGTTAAACTTGAAAAAATGCTGTAAAGACTTTGATTTATTTTTAGAGATGTAGAACACAGCAAATGCTTAAAGTTTTAGTATATAATGCGTTATATGGCCATAGCTTTGAATCTTCGGCATAAAAGTACAAAGAAATTCTTTAATCATTTCCTTAGACAACGTTTAAATTGTACATCTAAATGACATGAATAAAACGAAATGGTATTTTACCGTATTCGAAGGACTTAAATTTGTGACTAATTTTCATTAAAAATGTTATCATCCGATGTGGCATTGTGTCCCATTCGGGAAGAAGTGGATAAGTAATTAGGTGTACAAATCTAAACAACTTAAGACTTATGCATTTTTCACCCTATAACATGCCATTTGTCCAAGTTTTTTACTGTAATGGTAGATTTGTATCTATGTATTGACTGCAATATGCATTCAATATATTTTTAATGCGGTTGCTAAGTATAGTGAAACCACAACCAATTCCTCAGATGACTGATAGAAGCTTATTTAAAGAGAAGATGTCTCCACCAGAACAGAGTGGGTAGAAAATGAAACAATATACACTAAGTTCTATATTTTCTTTTTCAGATTGCAATTATTATTGTCTAGTGTGGGTTTTTTCGAGAGAAAAAAAATTAACTTATGTATTTTAAAAGCTGCAAATTAAAGTCCACACATTATGCCACTAAATACCAAAATGCACAAGACACATACCTGATCCTGGTAATCCTGAAACAAGACATAATCTCATGGAAAACAGACACACATATATAACATAGACATTCCAACATTAAAAAAAAAATTAAATATAGTAACGTATATTTCACGAATTAAAGTTGTAAACTCAGCAGATTGGAAATTACCCATTTGAAAATTAAACATTCAGAAACTTTGAAAGCGTTCATTCAATCATAAAATAATTATATTTACCTGTGTTGCGTGGTTAATCCTTGATCCCGGCCTCCCTGGCGTAACACGTCCGGGGGTATAAGCACCATATCTGCCTGTAGGGTCTGGAGGAGGTGATGGGCAATTAACATCTCCATACTGGTCTTCTTCATATACATCAGATGGATATCTATAGACAGATATATAAAACTTTTATCAGTCTACATTTGATGCTATGCAATTTTATATCTGAGTTTGTGGTTATTGATGCAGTTGATATGATAAGTACAACTACTAGTGGTCAGTTGAGAACGAGAATTCAGCCCAATTCTGGTCTCCTTATCTTGTAAGCGAATTATCCTAGCTAATTCCAAATTTTAAAGGAAATTACTAGTAAAATAGACTCCAAACTGGACTTACAACGTCAACAATGGACAAGCAACCCGTCGCAAGAAAGCTCGAAATGGCCCCAACAGTCTAGACAGGGTGTTAATATATCCCACTGATAAATTCAACATAGCGAACCAAACAACTGACATGGAGTTATCAATGAAATAAAATATGAAAAAACAAGGAGAAACACTGACAAAATTCCCGAACGGAACATAAACATGTGGTAGGCTTAAACTTGTTTTCCATATAATAACCCCCCCCCCCCCCTCCCTTTTATCTCTGTCAGTCGTAGAATAAAAGCTTACCTGCACGTACTAGTAGTTTGATGAAGAGTAAAAACTTTACCTGAATGTACCAGTCGTTTGGTAGGTAACAGAACTAGCTCTGTGGATTGGGTCATATTCCATCATCTCTATCAGATTTAAGAAATGTTAGTAATTTTGATATATATCCCCTGTCAATATGTTAGATTTGTATAGCATGGCTGATTACTTATTTATGCTGGAAGCTTGTTAATTATTAGGTTTTGTAATACGGAATACACCAGGGAATACCTGGACTAACTATTATATCTTCACCTATGTATATGGTTTTTATATACTAGTAGAATAGGACTAAAATGGAAAAGTTCGTATCAAGAAACTCATTTATTTGACAATAATACAGTGTGTTACTATTCAATTATGGTCCTTAAAGGATATGATACATGAAGCATTTTTATGAGCTACATACCTCATTTAATAGAGAGTTGGAATGAAGCTATCAGCTGTGAGCAAATTTGGGAAATTCCAAAAAAGGCAACCACCCTCTTTTCTCAAAGGACCCAGAGACGATTATTTTCAAACACCAAATATCGTTTTTTCTCACCTGACAACTCGCGGTTTGGATATTTTCAATATAAATATTTTTTTAAATAACAATAAGTAACGCCACAGCAGGTATTCATTCCACAAGAGTGTCACACAAACTTTACATCTTCTTTAACAAGGCCAAACTAATATAATTTCGTGTTCTCAAAACAAGGCCACACAAATCTGATTCTTAGTGAATTGGATAAAGACGGATGTGTTGTTCCGATTGGATAAGGCCTCGCCAATCCAAGCACAAGAACTTTCAATAAGGCTACATTAATCTGATTCTTAGTACATTGGATAAAGACGGATGTGTTGTTTATTGGACAAGGCCTCGCCAATCCAAGCACTAGAACTTTCAATAAGGTCACACAAATCTGATTCTTGTTGCATTGGATAAAGACGGATATGTTGTTTATTGGACAAGGCCTCGCATTCCAAGCACTAGAACTTTCAATAAGGCCATATTAATCTGATTCCTGTGGTTTTTTATTTGTTTGTTTTTGTTTTTGTTTTTTTTTTCACAGGGGCCACATTAGTTTAATTCCTTGTTCTTTGGGCGAGGCAACGCATTAAGACTGATTATTGTTCTTTGGAGAACATTCTACAATCAGACTCTTGTTTAAACCCTGATCCATGCATATGATTACTATTTTGGTGTTTTCAAAGCTATCCCTCGTCCCAAATATCCCTTAAACCAATGTGGGACACATATAAAAGCTTTTATCCCATATTATTTGTACAAAAAAGGAAAAAAATCGTCCCCCCCCTTTTAAAACAAAACAGCTAAAATATATTATTGTTGTTGCCTAAATACATAAACAATCTTATTAAGTATTTACATTTATGAATTTATCACACAACCCCCTATAAATCAGAGATCGAGATTAAATCTATAGAGTATTTACATAGTAGGAGCCCTGTGTTTTTGTACTTTAAATTTATCATATAAACATATCATTGTCGCATTCTTTAATATTTTGGAACAATTATTACAAAAGATATGGTATTGTCACAGTTGTAAGATTGTACAAATACAACATAGATAACCCTCAATGACATAACAGTACGGTGTCCATTAATACGGATTAATTTTCAATGATGTTTGTACAGTTGGTAGGCACGAGCACAAAAGATCGATTTTCCATGTTGTATTTAAGGACAGAAGGTCGGCTACCTAACCGACAGTCAGTCATATGGATTTGATAAATCTGTCAACACCTACTTCCAAATTCGGAATTATTCCAAATACAGAATATGAAATTCGGTCTGTGTTTTTACAAGTCATACAAGAACTTCGACTCGATCTACACAAAGCTTTACTGCGTCCCACGTGTTGCCGATACAAGCTTGTATAAAATTACCCTTTCATATTTGTAATATTTTTCAGAGGCACGGTCCCTACTTGTTAACATTAATTAACATGGCAATTTGAATATGCTACAATTTTAACACCAAATGTCTTTTATTTATGGCGTTGCTTAGGGAATGACGATAATTATAGCGTATCAAAGTCTGAACCTATGTTAGATCTTTAACTCGAGGCATGCAATTAAATTAAAACCATTATAAACTTTTAGTCGAACTTTAATATACACTATTGAAATAATTTTAAATGAGTAATAAAACTAATTGTTTGATTTATCACACAGGTGTTTTTATGAAAGAAATAAACCACTTTTTGATTTCTTATACATGAATAAAAAGAGATGTGGGGTATAGTTCAATGAGAAAACAGCTTAACGAAAATAAGGCATCGAGAGCTAGGGCAACCTACGGTCTTCAATGAAACACAGGAATGTATACAATATGCTAATTAAGCTGTAAATCGTCCCGAATTTATAAAAAAATATATGAATCAATTTAACAGAAACAATCAATTAACTGAGATCTGCCACCGACACCCAATTGTGCAAATAATGAAAAGCGTTAAGATATGACGTATGAAAACTTCTGATGAGGTTCATGACGTAAGTCAAAAATCTACATGTATGCACAAACTTTTATCTTTAAAACTCTTGATAATTTAGATGTCAGATGTACTATATGACTGTTGAACCGTTATTTGGTGTGTTCGATCAGTAGAGGACTGCATATGCAAGACGTTGTGTCACACGTGCGTACGGGCACGCCCACACACACAGACAGACGTGTTATCGGTTTGTATCATACCTATAATTGGTATTTTGATATAGCATCGCGATCGCCATTGACAGTATAACGTACCATATCGGATTCTACTAAACGAGCCATTTGGTTGCTCCTGCTTCAAACCCTTTTTGGACAGTGCAATGTTATCCTTGTAGCAGGCGGCTGAAACGAACCTACCGAATACGGTATTTCACGAGTTCAAACAAATATTGCATGCTTTAAATTGGAAAAAACCTAATTCGCAAACCATTGTGTAAATATTTAATGTAAAAATTGATATTTTAGTCTGTTATGAAATTGATCTTTAGAACTCAACATGGTTTATAATAATAAACTTGTCCAATCAATTCAACACGTCATCAGAAACAAAATGTTGAATAATATGTTTATTTGAAGTGTTTATATAGCGCTTAACATGCAGACAGTGAATGTAAATTTTACTTTCATACATAACTGTACAAGAAAAGTGTCGAACGTTTTTTTTTAAGTATATTCAATACTTCCAATCCATTAACTCTTACAGTCTGATAAGTGTTTATTCAAAACATTTCTATTTGAATTATATAAATTAAAATTGCTTTGTAGACTTTAAACTCTATCAAGTGTTGAATTAAAAAAAGTTTGAAAAAAATACTTGTAATTGCTGTACCATGAAAAATAAAGGTGAAACATATTGTATAATAACACTGGAACTTTAATTAGTTTTATTTATCTTTGATCTTTTCCGAATTTAGCATGAACGATATTTTTCTGAGCTTCAATTTCATTTTCTTGATCTTTTTTCAGATAGCAATAATGCAGATTAATGCACGGTGCAAATATTGCAGACGGTATGACAACTTGTATTTATAAATGACTATTATGAGTCGAATGTATGCGAACATACATTACATTGTAGGCATGATTTTTATAGCAACAGATCAAGGACTTCCATGCAGTTGCCATGATCATTCTTTAATTAAGTATTGTTTTACAAGTGTTTTTCGTTTGTAATACTTATATTACCTCGGTTTTTAGTTTAAACATGTTTGAAAATTGTATAGTGCATTTTTATCCCTATAGTTTCGTTAATCCATTGATTGAGATATAGAAAAGGGGAAGTCTTGTACAAGTAAAATTAGTCTAGGCCGGCGACTTGTAAACGTACTTACATCCAAATGACTATCTATTTTCTGACCATCCTGCCATATACAACCGAGTCACATACTGACAAACCTCTCCATTGAATACAATTTAGTCATTATTCAGCCACAAATATTTCCCTAAACCACCAAGTCCCTACCTCGTACTCCTACACCATACATATCACACCGCTTTACCACGTAATAACTATCTCGTACTACTACCAATTCGTTTCCCCGTACGACAAATTCCTAACTTTACTTACTTTAAACATATTTTATTGTCAAAACAAGAAAAATGACAACGTGTAAGACACAAGTTTTAATCTAAGGATAGACTTCGTAAGATTTTTACCAGTTCTCCTTTAAGTTTTAAACTTAGGAGGACCACGTTCCAATTCCACACCACCTTAAACTCCTCCCAAACTTATTTTCCAGGGGAACTTCTGTTAGGCAGAACAAATATATGTTGACACTACTACCCGAAACACCACCCCATATACCAAGTTACCACCTTGTACTTCTACCAAAAACAATATTACACATACCAAATAACTATCTCGTACTCCTACATAAAATCTCACCCCATATACCAATCGACTTGTAATTTTACCAAAAACACTATCCCATAAACCAAGTCACTATCTAAAACTCCATCATACCCCTGAGATACTATGTGTTATAGTAGTCTCAGCACACCCTTTCCGTCCAATTTGTTCTCTAGCTGCCATACATTAAATGTTCCACATAGAAAAGGTGTACATAGGATTGATGAAAATGATCTTAAGTTATAACAGTTAAAGGAACTTACATGTCATAGCCTCTCATTTCATATGAAGTATACGGTCGTCGAATTTGTCCCGGCATCTTGTTAAAGTTCTGTGTTGTCAAATGCGAGTTTAATTTCAATTAATATCCAATGTTTTCAATCAATCTTCACGCTTCGTTGTTTATCATTTGTCCAGTGAAAGTTTTCTTCTTATATCATAAATATACCTTTTATTGTTGTAGATTTTTAGTTGAATTTATCAACACAATTTAAACCTCCCAGATTATTCATAGTTCTCTATACTATAGTAGAAATATACGATTATTTGGGCCAGTTTATTAATTTTAGGGGGCTTTGAGACCGGATAAAAGTTATTAGGACAATGATTAAAGCGAAGAAGAATAACTTTATTGATGTATTGGCGTATATTTCTTTAATAAACGACAGACTTCAGGAAAAATTGACAAATTTAAATTTGATTTTTGGTTCAATTTAGTAAATATTTAACTTGAATACGACTCCATTTTACCTTTAGATTAAATTTCAATAGATCTTAACTACCGTTATAGAAAGGTATTCAAGCGGGTATTACAAAAGCTAGCTTAAACCTTTTTACGGATTAATCTCCGACCGTTCCTCTTGTCATTAATTAGGTGCAACATACATATGCACAACGCAAACATGAAAAGGAGATTAATTTTTATTAAAAGGGATTTTTATTTTAATAATGTTTAAGTCGATTTGTCTGGTGGTCTTGCACATAGACTTAAATTTTCCAATAGGACAAAAGGCGTGGAATGCACACTTGCAAGCATTATTATTTTTAACTTTCAATTTTGAAACACCTTTTAGTGCATCTGATCAATCAGTATCATATTAAACTGTCTTTTTATCCATATTTTAATTCTGCTTCTTTCTTTGTGTCTAATAATTAAAACTGTTCATGCTAATACAGAAAGGAAAGGAGAGCGCTACGGGTAGTATGGTTCGATTGTTATGGGAATTATACATATACTGAAAAATAACACAATATGAATATCTTTTATTGAAAATAATAATGCACTATTATACCCCAATGGGGTTGATTGCATACACGAAAATTAACAAAACAACACATTATAATACATCACAAAAATGATTAAAAAAAAAGACATGAATTTATAATTTTTTATATGTAAGTATCAAAATTGTGGGTTAAGACTAAGATGAAACAATAACAGTCTGAATTTTTAAGAGTACGAATACTCAACCATTATTGTCATAGAAAAGGGTCTGAATGCATGGGTTTCTTCAATTGTGTGTTTTTTCTTTACTTTTAGGGTTAATTGTCTCTACTGTGTATTTTTATGAATTATTCTGTAAACCATTACATTAATGCGCCTCATCATGCTCTATTCTCTCTGGACCATTTTCTTTTATTACTCTTCAAATATTCAAAAATTTGAAAATAAAATGAACATCATAATTCTAAATGAAAATATGTGGTATGATTGCTAATGAGACATCTCTCCACTAGAGACCAAATGACATAGATCGAAATTAACAACTATAGGTCACCGTACGGCTTTCAATGAGCAAAACCCATAACACATAGTCAGCTATAGAATTTGTCATTTGAAAGGATTCCGCGGAACCGTGTGTCTCGCGTGCGATTGCTGCTGTCAATGTAAAAGTGTAATGAATGTTGACTTAAAAAGTGATTCCATAAAATACAGAATTTTAAAAAAATCATACTTTTTCTTAAGATATTATTTCTTGGTCTTGAGGATTAGCTTTTGTCAAAGTTTCAAAACAATCCATGAGGGTTTACACAAAAAATTATCCCATGCAGACTGTCCGTAAATGTTAACTGAAAAAAATTAAGTCCATCTATCAGAAAAATACTGAAAATGAACAAAAAAATATTTTCAAAAATTTGCTCTGGATACTGTATTTAGGTTACTAGTAGTAAACAAGCTTTTGTCCAAATTTCATAATTCCATGAAGGTTTGACAAAGTAATTGATGACTATAAAACTGTAACCTCAGATTGAATCTGAATGTTGACTGTAAAAAAAAAATTATCAGTAAAATACGGGAAAATGAAAATAAATATTTTCAAAATTTTCCTCCAGATACTGTATTTTAGTCATAAAATTCTATGAAGGTTTGGTAAAATTATTGGTGTCTAAAAGAATCTTTCACCACAGACTGAATCTGAATATTGACGACGCCGACGCCGGAAGCTAGAATGTCTATGTCTCGCTTTCGCGACATAAATCTCACAGGCTCGACAATAGGTCCCGAAAGGACATATGTAAAACAATTCAAACAAGAAAACTAACGGCCTGATTTATGTACAAAAACAATGAACGAAAAACAAATATCATATACAGCAACAAACCAAAACCACTAAATTACACGCCTCTTACTTGGGACAGGCACATACAGAATGTTGCGAGGTTAAACATATTTGATGGCGCCAGCCAAACCCCTAACTAGCTAGGACAGTGGTGGAACGGCACAACACAAGAACAAACTACTAGTATACAAAATACAATGAACGAAAAATAAATATGAGAAACAGCAAAGAACGACAACCACTTCATTGATTGTCTCTAAACTGGAGTTATTAGCAGTTTCATCTTGTACAACTGTGTAGATACAACGTAGATAATGACGATGAACGATACATCAAGGTGCTTCATGTGATCTCTGGTGGATAGTTGGCAACCATACCACATTTTTTTATAATACGTGTAATACTTTTGAGAAAAGTAAGAATGCTTAAATGAGAAAGTGTCACCAGAAACCTTATTCCTGCAATTGTGGTTGAGACTGGCAATGTAGTCCTATGTGCTACGCTGATTCACCACAAAATAAGGACCCTTTTGATATTTTATAACATTAAATAGATATAGGAATAGTATGCTTAAAACGGGCGATTTATATAACTTCGTATACACGATATAGCTGTCTCCTGGCACACTACAGACTATTTCAGTCTGCAACGATAAAAAGTATGCATATCCCGGACTGGGAAGCGATTCATTCTACACTTTTAACGATCATTCGACAGAAAAAAAAAAACATAAAAATAAACAGCTATGCATGCGTTTTACGATGATATGCAGAAATAAGGAATTTCGGAAATTGAGAATCATCATGAAACGACAAATTGACGGTCTTTCTTTTTATCTGCCTTGAGCAAAATATGACATTCCGTGCATGATTTACTATACAAATTTGGGATATGACCTACTAGCGCATTCTTCGTAATCTAATAATCTTCGTCCCACTTTAATTTCCTAAACCTCGTTTCAAGTTGAATTTATGAGACATTGTAGTTCACGTGCATTGGAAGTTTTTTTCTTACACAAATTTATCGTATACTCGTGCATGTTGGAGGAAACGTAAGGTACATTTGGAATTTCTGAAATCAAGCTCGAAGTACGTCCTTTTTATTGACAAACAAACTTTTAGGCTATTGGACAAATATGGTATTATATGTCTGGATTTTGTGCTTTTAATCGTCAGGAAAAAAATATGAAATCGTTTTTAAGAAGATGAACGTTTCGAATTACTTTTTCAACACTGTATATCTTGGTCTTAATTTACTTTTTTTATTCTAATTAACCCATGTAATTTAAGAATCCGTAGAAAAAAGAAGCACACAGAGTAGATGCTTAAGAAAAGTGTACAAAAAAAAGAAACATCCAAATACAATTTACATGTATATATATATATATATAATCATTTAAATGCATTTTCGTTAATGAACGAAATGTGCAATCTAATTAAAATATGTATCTCTGATTTCTTTATACTCATATGAGTAAGTTACAATTGATCGATATTTTAATTAGATTACGAAATGTGATAATACGTCAATGAGACAGCAACCCAAAAGCACGAAAAAACAACAAACATCCAAAGTTCAATGAAAAGCATGTATCTATACAATATGTCAAGCACTAAACCGCAACGAGTCTAAAAAGTTATGATTACATCAAATAGATACTATATCAAAGATCTGTCATGAACACCATGTTCTTTAATTGACAAAAACATAAAGACATGACAAAGACAGCCACTGAATAAGTTCCAGACTTTGGACAGGTACATGAAAAATGTGACGGGTTAAACTAGTTTTCGAGATCTCAGTCAGTTTATCAGTTCGGCGAATTGCTGATTTCAGCGGACACACATATAAATTTTACATTGAGCAAAAAACAGATTCGCAAATATTTTCCAACTTACCTTGACCATTTCATTGTTTCCATTAATCTTTGCATTCGGTTTTTTCCCCTCCCCATAGCTATAGCACATTTCTCAAAAACGCTGTTACCACCAACAAAGTCAGTTAAAATACTGGCGATGACAACTGGATAAAAGAATTGTTCTTTTTATCTTATATCTTGCACACCTTAATTACAAAATACTTAAATGAACAAGTGTTAATAAACGGTTAAAGGGATTAATTTGAATCGGATATGCATGGAACGCTTAATTTTATTGAACATTACCCAAATGCAGAACTTGGCTCAAAAAGTAGATTAGTAACTTTGGAATCGATGTGCATATAAAGCCGCACCAGTCTGATTTACGGTTCATAAGATTTGTTGCACTAATTTTTGGATCGAACAAAGTTTTGATAAAGAAATGTTTTCCCGGTATGTAAAACCTTTATAAAGCAACGATTTCCGCAAATCGTCACCCTATCAAACTGAAATTAATATCGTGGTCAATAATGGAGCAATACTACATTTGAAACAATAATTATGTTACACAAACCAAATACTAATAGTGCCAGACATGCCAACATGTTGCCTTTTGTTGTTCATCTGTTTGTTTTCTTTTTGACGAGTAGGTTATTTCGGGTTGATGCCGTTGGCGTTATGAGTTTGTACTGATGTCTTGTTATATTTATAGTTTGTAAATGGGGGATATCGTAGTACCACGGCTTCCACTTCCTCTTCACACATTGTAGCTAGTTAAAAGTAAGAACTTGAAGTATGGGTTTTAATTGATAAGACTGTAGACATCTCTTTGAAAGTTTACAGGACTCCAGCCGTGAGCTTGTGTCGAGATAGCTGTAGCTTGTCCGTCTTTTTTGACATGGTGTTGTTTGTCATTTTGAACTTTACGGTTTTTGATTGTATCCTTGGTATCTTATCCTCTTGTTTTTGTATAGGTTGAATATCAAGTGAACCACCATTAGCAAACTATACTGCATGCATCATACTTACTCTATCCCGGGACATACTATATTGACAGTATAATAGTCCCACCTTTAGCGTATATATTCTTTATTGCCCATGCCAATTACCTTATACAGTGTTAAATGTTTATGTTTTTTTTTTAAGTTTCCCGAGATTATGACATTTTACGCTTATAATGGTAATGTATATTCTTCCCCTTCACGGGTTCAAAGAAATTGGACCAAGTTCCCCTAAACATATTTCACAAGAGGGCCATTTTCAGATAATCTTTCAATCTTTATTTAAACGCACAGTACCGCTAATTTGAAGTTCTAACAATATTGCGGCTTATATTTCTAAACATATGCCCAAATTATGAATTATAAAGATAGCTGTAAACTGTGATTTTGATAAATTTTGATAAATTTTGAGTACAATATCGTCATCAATATCAGAGACGTACAAAAAGGACGCCCTTAACCAAAACCACCATACTTTTGAAAGTAATTAACTCAGGAATATCTCGTCGTTAAGATATTTTTGGTTTTGTCCTTAGATGCAATTTTTTACAAAAACATGTGAAATTTTTAGTAATGTATCAGAATAATATCCCATTAAAATGTTTCAAAACATTTTAATTTTATGGAAATATGTACAATTGTTGAACTTGATGTGATGAAGTATCCAGAATCTTTATGATATACAATTCCAGTATCTTCAACTTCTACAGGGGAAATTGACCTCACCTCTTTGACAATCAATGATCTTTTCTTCGTCTAAAACTGTGAATCACTTGAAATGACTGAACATGACGTCGATTTGCCTTATTACCCAAAAGATTTAAGTAGATTAACTGTATACCGCCATCTTAGATTGTAAAATAGCAGTACACTATCGGTCTAGTTCTTTGCTTAAATTTGAGACAGATTTGCAATTAATGTGTGGGCTGTTTATTTGAATACAGAAAAATAAGTGATTTATTGCATTATTTAGACTTTTTGAACAAATATCAGTTATTTGTGTTTGTTTGAATCAATTTTTCGACTAAGTCATTTAAGGGGAGATAACTCTTCCAGTAATTTTTTTACTAAGGAATGTTTAAGGTTTAAGAATTTTTTTAATATTTACTTGTAGCAAGAAAACAAATTCTGCGAAACCATAATTTCTTTTTATTTCTTAAAGCATATTATAAAAACATCATCTGATATTTTATTACAAAATTCTATCTCATAGATTTCTTTTTATTCACGAAAAAGTGTGTTTTTTCATTAATAATCATTGAAAATTTGACAATTTTGCACATCTTGAAGTTTGATAAATAACACCGTGACCCTTGCTTTTTATTAATTTTATGAAAAAAACATGGTAAAATATACATTTTGGCGAAGTATAATAAAATTTTATCTGAGGAATATATACCAAGGATCCACCTTAATTAAGCAAGGGAAAATTTAAAATTTGACATATTATAGCATAGTATGATAAGCGCTCAACTATGTTTCCTAGACCTTTCAAAAGAATAAAATCTGTAAAATTTTCGTATAAAAGCTTCTGGCATGAGCTCCTCGAATTCCGTGGAAAAACCCTGCTTTACTTCCAGCTTTGTTCCGAGTTTTAGAAATTAGGAAATTATCTCCCCTTTTACAACAAAATTTGCGGGAAATCACTTTGCCAGTGTACAAACTTAAACTAATAACACGTTTAAACAATTGAAAATGGGTGTAAGTTTAATTATGATTATTGTTTTAAATTTTTTGAGATGAAATAATGTTGACCTCATTGAAAACATTACATTCTTCTTCCCTATGGCTATTGAACTAAAGACATCACTCACCAGGCCAAAGTGAAACAAAAAAATAATTTCTCATCGTGTGTTTAGGGTTTCCTCCTTTAGAAAAATAGGATAGGCACTGGTAGGTAGTATCGTTTTTTACTTTGCTCTATTCATTTAACCCTTAGTATATGTGGACCCCTGCTATTTTTGTAGGGATACACTATCAAAATCTTTTACATAATAAAACTTTAAAGACTACGCATACACATAGGATAGTCCAGATAATAACGTCTTGAAATTGCTTTTTTCTGCACGAAGGAAGGCTTAACAGGAAAAAAAAATTAAAATAGCCTTTCAAGATGTCATAATTTTTTAGACTAACATATAGCAAATATATAGGGCTGCCTTCCGACAGTTGAACTAACCAACCAGCTCTTCTTCTAGTGCACATGATATATGTGCACTAGAAGAAGAGCTGGTTGGTTAGTTCAACTGTCGGAAGGCAGCCCTATAATCCTATTAGATCGGATCCTGCACGGTGTAACATACAGAGCAGGTAGCCGTAGGGGAACCCTCCACACATTAATTTTTAATTTTGGCTTTAATGGGGTGTTATTCTGTTATTGTATTCTCTGATATACAGTAATTTTGCAGGGTTTTCAAAATGGTAGTTGTATCGCGTTACATTTATCAAGGCATCTACATGTACCTAGTTTGTCTCATTAACTAATTCAACCAGTATTATGATACCCCCAAAAACTCCCCAAAACTGATTAAAAATCAGAGAACTGATAGATACTACTGCTTACATCATTTTGTATATTGACATTATAAACGACTAAAATTTTTAGATATGTGTCACTTTTACTCAATTTATAAGTACAACTTAACTTTGGAAATACAATTTTCGAGTCATGTTTGCAAGTTGCTTGAAAACAATAAAGCACATGTAATTATTCAAAAGGTAGCTAACTCTATCATGCCATATTTCCCAAAATAAAAGGTAAACTGCAATTGGTGAACTTTATTCTTGAAAGTGATCTATCTAATAACAGGAATAAGGAACACTTAGATTACATGTAACAACCCAAATAATGCACCACATATTATATATAATAGTTTCACAATTTTCTGTTTTTTCCACAAATTTGTGGAATTATACTATATTGTAAGCATAACCTTGAGATGAATACAGTGTTTACAGAGAAAAAAAATTCTATGCAATAGAAATTTTTACTCAAAGAAATTAATGGAGGTGGTGCATTTCTTTTGTTTTTGAATATATTTAAACTTTATTTCTCTCTTCTAATCATTTTTCTTGTGATGTCAATGTCATTAATGTAAAGATTTTATTTTTCAGAGAAAATCAGTAAAGTCAAAAGAAAAGAAGATGAAGAGAAAAGAGGTAAATTTCATATTTACATTTTTATTTACAGAATTATGCAGAATTAGTTATATGAAGCTAAAAAATATCTGTGGTTTTACAGTAATGTCCTATGTTTATCAATAAATTCAATGCTTACCAGTACTTTTTACATAGATTTGATAGGAAATTGTTTTGTCTTGAATTCTTATGAAAAATCCTGAAATCATTGATAATGCATATATACCTGTGACTGGTATGCAGTTAAATTGAGTTTCAAAAGGGCCTTCAGCCACAATACAATTAAGTTAAAGTGTATCATCTGTAGAGGAACTTTTGTTTGTGTTTTATATGCTTGTAATATAATGATTTTTTGTCGAGCCTGCGACTTTTGTCGCAGAAAGCTCGACTTAGGGATAGTGATGCGGCGGCGGCGTTAGCTAACTTCTTAAAAGCTTTATATTTTAGAAGGTGGAAGGTCTGGATGCTTCATACTTTGTATATGGATGCCTCATGTTACGTAGTTTCCGTCAGTCACATATCCAATGTCCTTGACCTCATTTTCATGGTTCAGTGACTACTTGAAAAAAAAGTTAAGATTTTTTGTAATGTTAAATTCTCTCTTATTATAAGTAATAGGATAACTATATTTGGTATGTGCGTACCTTGCAAGGTCCTCATGCCCGTCAGACAGTTTTCACTTGACCTCGACCTCATTTCATGGATCAGTGAACAAGGTTAAGTTTTGGTGGTCAAGTCCATATCTCAGATACTATAAGCAATAGGTCTAGTATATTCGGTGTATGGAAGGACTGTAAGGTGTACATGTCCAACTGGCAGGTGTCATCTGACCTTGACCTCATTTTCATGGTTCAGTGGTCAAAGTTAAGTTTTTGAGTTTTGGTCTTTTTTTCTAATACTATATGCAATAGTTCAACTATATTGGGTGTATGGAAATATTTTATGATCTATTTGTCAGTCACGCAGGTTTTTTTTTACCTTGACCTCATTTTCAAGGTTCATTGCTCAGTGTTAAGTTTTTGTGTTTTGGTCTATTTTTCTTTTACTGTATACAATAGGTCTACTATATTTGGTGTATGGAATGATTGTAAGGTGTACATGTCTAGCTGGCAGGTGTCATCTGACCTTGACCTCATTTTCATGGTTCAGTGGTCAATGTTTAGTTTACTTGGTTAATGTTAAGTTTATGTGACAGTTGTAATAAAGCTTTATATTTAGGACTATCAACATAAAATCAATGATTAGTAAAAAAGGCGAGACATTTCAGTGTGTACACTCTTGTTTTAGGAATCAGCAAAAATGGCAGTGTCATTGGAAAAAGTTGATAAAGCAAATAAAGTAAGTAATATAGATTATAATACAGAATTTTGATCATAGTCCATTAAATTTATTTACAAATTTTAAAGACTGTATAGGGAATTTAGGATCCATTGTTTACATGTAAGTCGTATCTTAACTTTCTTCTTGGATTTGTTTTTTAAATCACATGAGAATGTAAAACAGTAGGCTGGAAATCCTTTTTTATGTTTTCTTGAGACAGTGTACTCAATTTTAAGTTACCAATTATACAGGGACTAAACTGAACGCTTGCCCAGTCGCCCAAGGCGACCAGATTTTCGGCTGGGCAAATATATTTTATCATCCTGATCGCCCAGCTGGCGACTAAAATATTTTGAAGTGAATCCCATTTTTACCCTTTCCCCCGCGATATAAACAAAAACTGTTCCCAAATGGAAACCTGCTTGTCTAATCAAAGCAGGATAATTAAAGAGAGAATTTCCGAAAACCAGTAAGTTCATTTTAATAAACCAAACCTGGTCGGACAACTATGTTTTCAATACGAAGTCACGATTTGACATATACCTCCTTCTCTAAGCACATGTTCATGGTGTTCTTAACCCTCTTTTAAATCGTCTACAATTATTTCATTATTGTTTAGTGTTTTCTTTTGAACTGTGCAATATGCATCGCGAAAGGGATGCATTCCAGTTGTCCAGGGAGTCATTACAAGCCTGTATTAGACGGTAACTTGTCCAGGAATCGCTATTTACAAAATCTTCAATGAAAAAACGAAACGCAAAATCTCGTTAATAAATATCGTAATATCTAGTTTGATATCCAATCTTCAATAAAAAGTAATTGAATAATAATTTTGATCAACACTATTAGAGGATGGCTTGGATTTGAAATAGCGTTAAAAAATTATAGAAACAGCCATATTGTCAAAAGGTCAACAGGAAGTTGAAATTGAAGGGAGACAATTTTGGTAGAAAATGTACTAAAATCAGTATTGTCAAATCTTATGATATATTTATGGTGGCAATAATTCAAATATTATAAAGTTATCACACAAAATCTTTACCAGACTCAGAAGTAGGAACACCTAATAAGGCTTTATTAGTATATGAAAAGTACATTTCAGTTTTATTTTATTTGTATAAAAATTGGATGGGCTCCTGAAATTTCAACTGGGCCCCTGAAAAAAATATTTTAGGGGCCCAGCTGGCCCCTGGAGGAAAACAGTTAAGTTAAGTCCCTGTTATATTGTGTGTTTTTGTCAATTTACCCATTATTATCAGTTGTTTAACATTATATATTAAAGTAGTTTTTATATTTAGAAAAATAGTTGTATTTTTTTTCTAATACAGGTGCCAGACCCAATGGATTTTGTGAAACCATTCAGAAAATTTGACAGAAATGGGTAAATTAATTAATCTAAAAGATTTGTGTTATTTCCCTTGCTAACTTAACTTTGTTCATCACATTTATAAATGATCTGTTTAATTAATTATAAGCTACCAATTTATGTTTTTCTTTGTCTGTAAAATTTTCTTTCTTATTTCTGTTCTACAATTAAGATAGTTTTCAGGCTCATTTTGATGCTTCATTACCAGTCATAGTCTTGTAGAACCGCCAACAACCTGTTGTCTTTATTTTGATCTGAACTTGCTTTTTAAATTTTTTAACATAACTCAGAAATCTGAAGAAGTAATATTACATACATTATATTCTACTCATACATGTACCAAGAAAAATAAAACTGGCTACTTGAACAATTTTAACAAAAAAGTGATCTGCTTTAAAATACAATCGTTGGACCTGCATGAATACACAAACTAACAAAATAGATATACAAAAACCCACAGAAACTCCCAATTCTAATTGAAACCATTTTCTTTGAAAATGAGATAACTTTTGCCAGTGTTCCATAGAAACTTATATAAGATATATGGTATAATTGTATGTATTCTGTATGAGGAATATATAGAAATACCGGGTGTTCATCTGTCCTTTGTGTATCCTTCCATTCCTGTGTATACAAAAACAGATAAAGTAAAATTTCTGCTAATATTCCTTTTTTTCTGTAGTAATGAACAGAATTTCCTACAATTCACTTTTGAACAAAGTTAACTTGAAAGACAGAAAGCTTTTAATAATATTTGTTTTGTATGGCGTACTTTTAGGGATATTAAGAATTTTTTTACCATAATATACAGTCAAATCTCGCTAAGCCGAAGTCAAAGGGGCCAAATGAAAGTATTTGACTTATCTGAGGTTCAACTCACCAGAGTCTTCAACACAACAGGGTTCGACTGTAGTTATGGTCATTTATTACTTTATACATTCTTTTTCAGATTGAGTTTGACCATTGAGTTTAAACGTATAGCAGATATGAGTGAAGAAGAAATAGAATGGGCATTTGATCTCACAAAGAAAAATATGCAAACATTGTAAGACATTAATAGAACATCTTCACTACATCTTGGGTAGATTTTGTCTTGTCTATCTGCCCACGAAGGACTGTCCAATCAAATTTAAATGCAGATTTAAAAAAAATATTGATTACAAAGTTTAAATCATTCAGTCCATTGCCAGCACTTGGCATCCACTGGTTATCTTCTTTCAAAATTATTTTGATTATATAACTTGACCAGCAATCATTGCCACTGTTAAATTGAATAGAGCATAGGGGTAGAACTACAGTTTTTGTTTTTTTTCTCAAAAACAAGTGCAAATCTATTTAGGGTAAACATGATCATCTACCATCAAATTTTAAGAAAAAATCTGGCAAACCATTTTTGAGTTGTTGCTCCTGAAATATAAATTTTTAGCAAATTTCACAGTTGTTTGCAATTATTAAATAATAAACAGTACTTGAAGCTTGAGAAAAAGATATAAAAAATTACAATAAGTATTACTGGTGTATATAATGCTTATACTGAAAAAGAATCGTTTATATTATATCTTGAAAGTATTAGAGGGCATTTCCACCAGCTAATCTGAAGTGCTTACTTTACAGATATGAAGAAAGTGAATGGGGATGGAAAGATAAGGACAAGAGAGAAGAAATGACAGAAGATAAAGCACTGTATCTGATAGCAAGATACACAAATAATAAACCTGTAGCATTTACACATTTTAGATTTGATATGGAGTTTGATGAAGAAGTGTTATATTGGTAAGAGTTAATACTGTCAGTTTTTTGTTTTTATATGCCTTGCTTAGAGGGGACATATTTGATATAATGTAGTTTGAATGCATATGTCAACACTTTGTGCAATAACTCAAATTCGCTTTAACCAATTCTTGTGAAATTTTAACACAATATCAGGATTGATGGAAGAAAGCACCATTTCAATTTTGACAATTTCAAATTTTGTCTTTCTAGAGTTATTGGACTTTACACATGGCAAAATGGACAATGTTTTATAAATAACTCAACTTTGCTCTGATACTTTAGCCTGAAATTTTATCACAAGGCTACAATTAAAAGAAAACTCCATTTAAAATTTCTTGATTGTTACTTTTGTCACTCCATAGTTATGGGACCTTATTCATGAAAAGTCGAACCGTTTTCACACATTGTACATTAAATCCAATATGTTTGTACTGATTTCATCAAAACATTACACTATTTATGAAATTGATAAAAGGAACTACCTTTTGATTGTGAACATTTTCTGGTTTGTATCCAGAGTTGCATGACTTTTAATTGTCAGATTTAAGTACATTTTTCACATGTTGTCTGTTACATGAGTATGCATGAATATATTTCCTGGCAGTTGTTGGAATTTGTGAAAGTAAGATACCTTTTGATTTGGAAATTTTATGATTTGTCATTCCAGAGTTGTGGGAATTGAACCCCTGTTTTAAAGCAATTTTTACATGTCACACAATAGCTCTATCATACTTGGATCAAATTACTATAAACTTAATACTGTTGAATGGGTTGGTGAATGCAGGCTTACTTTTGATTTTGTCATTCCAGAGAGATCAGATTTTTTAACAGTAATATTTATGGCAATATTCATACACTAATGGCTATCCTCATGCAAGTTTTTCTACAGAAACATTTTCCCAACTTGTGAAAAGATGCCTCATAAATATTCAATTTTATGCTGGCAACAAGACATTAATATCACTTGCTTTTGTTGCAGCTGCTTATTATCCCCCACGGAACGTGGGGAACAAAGTTCCGTTATGTATAATGTTTTTGACCCTTCCATCAGTCCATCTGTCAGTCCTATTCTTGTCATCTTAACTCCTCTGAAACCAAACAACAGAATTTCATGAAACTTTGTAGATAACAAGGACATACTATGTAAATGTGCATATCAACAGGAAATTATGATTCAATTTTTAAGTCGCGCCATATCTCAAAAACGATTTATGATTATTGCTTAAAATTTTACACACTTCTTAGTTATATTAATCTAAAGATCTGTATCCTTTTTGGTTTTGATTCAATTTTTTCGTGTAAAAAAAAGGAGGGTTTTCCCATGTCGCGTAGTATGTCAGAAACTATTTATGATTATTGCATAAAAATTCACACACAAGACGACAGGCGTATCATGCGCTCATGGCGCAGCTGTTTATTCTAGAAGTAATGCCCCTTTGAACATAGAATTTTGGCCTAAATATACTACTGCAACAGTTTGTCATTGCAACTACTCTAAATCCACACAACAGAATTTCATGAAACTTTGTAGATAATTAGGACACACTACAGAGATATGCATATCGACAGGAAATAATGATTCAATTTTTATAGGTGTTATGCCCCTTTGAATTTTTGTAGGAGTTAAGAGTCTTTGAACTTTGGAATAATGAATTTTATTCAAAATTTAAGTTTTGGCCCTACATTTCTTGCATTAGCTTTGCATTGGGGTTCATTCATGCTTAAAAACATTATTGCAGACAGTATGTACAAGGTGATTCAGTTGTTAAAAAATATTTTTTTCACATTGAATGCTGATGATTTTAAATGATTCACTCTAAAAAATTGTTGTGCATTCAATAATGATATAAATAAAGATGTTTTAAGTCTGAGATATCACTTAGAAGCACATTACTCCTCCATGAAAGATTTTAAACTGATTCACCCTGTTCGCAACATCTGGGTTACTGGAGACCTTCATTTTATGCTCAAAGATTCGGATCTACCAATTACATCTTCTTTAAATTTGATTTACTTTTACCATGGTAAAATCTTTGAAATTAGCCAAAAAAATGGGGTTACAACCTCTTTTTTCAATTTATACCGCCATCTTTTCCCCATAATTTGGAAATTATGACTGAGTTATTTACAGTGTAATATTTTATAAAAAGTCCAAATCACATTAAAGTTGTTTGTTTTGTTAACCTTGTTTGAAGAAATTGTTAGCTCTCCTGGCCCTGGTGTGAATTTTTGCCATCACTTTGTGCTGTCATCTGTTGTTGTTCGTTAACTTTTACAACAGTCTTTTACTCTGAATCTACTTGGCTAAATTAAACCAAACTTGGTCGCAACCATCCTTGGGTATCTTGTTTAAGAAATGTGTCTGATAACCCTGCTTGCCAACCAACATAGCAGACATGGCTATTAATAGAACATAGGGGTAAGATGCAAGTTTTGTCTATCTCTTGGAAATCGAAATAAATAGAGATAATCTGACAGGACTAAAAAGTTCAAAATGTTGAGATTAACCTATCGTCCATTCACATCAAAACTTATCTGCCTTGTCAGATTTTCTCTATCTATAGCGGTTTTTAAGATAATAGACAAACCTTGCACTTGACCCCTATGTTCTATTTTTTATCTCGCTTTCGTCGCAGTATGAGAGACATAGGGATTACTATCCAGCTGCGGCTGCAGTGTAAACTATTTGTATAAAGTTTTATATTTCAGAAAGTTGAAGACCTTGATGCTTCATACCTTGTATGCAGATACCTTATGTTTCAAAGTCTCCGTCTGTCATATGTCCATTGTCAATGACCTCATTTTCATGGTTCAGTGACTGCTTGAAAAAAAATTATGTCATGTGAACTTCTCACTTATTTTTAGTAATAGGATAATCATATTTGGAATATGGGTTCCTCGCAATGTCTTCATGTCCGTCAGACAGGGTTCACCTGACCTCGACCTCATTATATGGATCAGTGATCAAGGTTAAAGTTACATGATTAGTTTTCGTTTCTCAGATACTATAAGCAGTAGGTCAACTATATGAGGTAAAATTGAGAATGGAAATGGGGAATGTGTCAAAGAGACAACAACCCGACCATAGAACAGACAACAGCAGACCAGGTGTATGGAATGATTGTAAGGGTACATGTTAGTCTGGCAGGTTTCATCTCACCTTGACCTAGTATTCATGGTTCATTGGTTAGTGTTAAGTTTTTGTGTTTTGGTCTGTTTTTCAATTATCATAAGCAATTGGTCTACTAGATTTGGTCCCTTTTATAGCCAACTATACTGTATTGGTTTATCTTATTGTTGAAAGGCGGTATGGTTGCCTATAATTGCTTACATCCACTTTATTTGAACTTTGATGGATAGTTGTCTCGTTGGCAATCATACCACATCTCCTTATTAGTCGAAGGGGACTTTAGGTTTGCTCTCTGTCCGTCTGTCTGTCTGTCCATCCGTCAATCCGGCAAATCAGTTTTCCACACTTTTTTTCTTCGATCCCGTGCTTGAAGATATTGAAGATATTGATTTGATGATTGGTACATGTATATAGTTTTATCATGACAAGTTACAAATTAAGTTCGAATTTTGTTCCGGTCTAATGATTTTGTGCAGAGTTATGGTCTTTGGACTTAGAAAATTCACTCAATCAATTTTCCAAATTTTTTTTGTCATGCTTGAAGTTATTGACTTGATATTTGTTAAATAGTTTACACCATGGCAAGTTATAGATCAAGTTAGCATTTTTTTCCAGTACAGTGAATTTTTAGCTGGTAGGGGACTACGTATTGCCGGGACTACATATTGCCAGGCAATACTCACAGAATGCTTGTTTTATATTGGTGCATGGAATAATTGTAAGGCGTACATGTCTGTCTGACAGGATTGATCTGACCTTGACCTCATTGTCATAGATCTTTAAAAATGTTGAGTTTATGTGATACCTAAAGTAAAACCTTTTTCTTTAAGACTTTCAACATAAAATCAATGGTCAGTAAAGCAGGGGAGACATTTCAGCATGTGCAATCTTGTTAGTCATATCTGCCATGTTGGTAGGCAGGCAGGGTCATCAGACACATTTTTTAAATGAGATCAACAAAAATTGAGATTTTAGTCATGAGTTATATTCTAGTCTACAATGTTGGAAAGTGGCCCTTGTGGTGGATGCACATAAATAGAGATGAGTGACACATGCTCTTTAGAGCCTCTAGTTTAGTTTTTCAAATGGAAATTAAAGTGATTGTTTATTGTTGCATAGTACATGTCTTTAGGGCTATGATTTTTATCTGTAAATCCATTAGATATGAAATGATTTTAATAGTATTTTTATGTGTTTAGCAAGAAGGTTGAAAGAAATTCTCTGCCAGTAACATGGAGATGGTATATCCGATATATTACCATTTCATTTACCTTGCTTTTTGATATATTTTTCCTGCATTAGATTTTGTTTCTGTGAGTCATGGCTGATGATGCATGCATAGCAAAAGATGCTTACCTTGTAGTCTCATCTCTCTATTAAGAGTTCATGAGATTATTTTTTGTTTTTATGCCCCATTTACGATAGTAGAGGGGCATTATGTTTTTCGGTCTGTGTGTCCGTTCATTCCTCCGTCTGTCCCGCTTCAGGTTAAAGTTTTTGGTCAAGGTAGTTTTTGATGAAGTTGAAGTCCAATCAACTTGAAACTTAGTACACATGTTCCCTATGATATGATCTTTTTAATTTTAATGCCAAATTAGAGTTTTGACCCCAATTTCACAGTCCACTGAACATAGAAAATGATAATGTGAGTGGGGCATCCATGTACTATGGACACATTCTTGTTTTATCTTGATTTGATTTGTCCTCATAATTGATTTGTGATCTTTAAACATCTGGTAAACTTTTGTTGCCTTAATTTATTTATGCAGCAACTCCTAAATTACAATTCAGTATTCTGTGAATGAAGGGAGACATAAGATGTACACCAACCAAACATAACAATAAAATTAAGATCTAAAGGTCAATTCATGGTCTTAAAAAAAACAACTATGCAATATGTCAATCTCAGACTTTCCACAAGGCTTGGAAAATTGTGAGTAGATTCAATAGACACTTTATAAGAGCTGCCTATTTTCAGTTGTTCAGTTGTGGCTTTAAAATAATCCAAACAATAATTTATGAATATGAAATACAGTATATTGTAAGTAAAATCATGAATATTAGGAAGTAATCAAATCCGAATCCAGACACAAGAACAGTAATATATATTTTGACCTTGTCAGTTTTGGTTCTGTATTTGTATGTACTACAGTAAAGCTATGTACAATGTACCAGTATTGTCAATGTCTACACAGTATGGTTACTTAGTGTTCAGGTAATAAATACACTGTCCTAAAGTGTTCATGTGAATGTCAGCCTTTGTATTTCAATATTGTTTAATTTTAATTATAGACAAATTACCCAAATCACAACTTCAGAATCCTGAAACCTCAACTGTATATATTTTGGCCTTGTCCGGTTCACTTTTGTATGTACTACAGCCTATGTACAATGTACCTGTATTGTCAATGTATACAGAGTTTGGTAACACAATTCCTAACTGATCCTTAGTATTCAGGTAATGAATGCACTGTCCTGAAGTATTGAGGATATGAATCATGTGTTGCTCAATATCTGTAACTATGATATTGTCAGATTTTGTAGCCACTAAATCTGAAGGTGTTAATGTTTGTTGTTTGTTTACATCTGGATCCGGATTACCACTATACACCCATCTCATTCCATTGGTTTTGTTTATTGCCACTATCCTACCATCAAAATCTGCATTGAGACGATCTAGAACAAAAATGTTATTGTCATTGTCTGTAGTTATTCTTGCAGGAACTGTGAAGATAGATTTACTATTATTGTCTAAATGGTATAGTTTTTCTTTCCTTCCATTCATATCCATCACAATGACCTGTCTAGGACCCTTGACTGGAAATGGTTCTCCTTTTTCTCTTACCCCTACAATGATTTGGTTACTTTTGGTGACATGAACAGCTATGGTTTGAAGAGGTGCAAAGCTGTATGTTGACTGTTTGATTTCTCCAGATGCATTGGAAAGTATTTGTAGAATAGGTTCCATTAAAGATATCAGTAAATCTCCTGTTGGTAATAAAGCCATGTTAAATGATAATGCATTTAGTTTGTAAATTACTTGTACTGGTACTGATCCATTGTTTAGTTGTATCTTCTGTAATGTTTTAGTAAAACAGCTGTTTATCCACAAGGTTCCATCTTCATTACATACTAAATTTTCTATAATTGGTAGTTTAGTTTTAAATGTCTGTAGCACTTGAAATTCAAATTTGTCCAGTTCCTTATCATCTCCAAGCTCAGCCATTTCTCCATGCTGTGCTACCAAAATTGGTTGTTTTCCTGGTACATATTGTGGCAATCCCTTAAACATAGTGTTTACTGGTTCTACCTTCTGTTTCCTGTCTGCTCTAAGTGCTCTTTCCTGTTTAAATATATTGAAAACTTTATTTGCATTGTTCTGACTAAGGGAATTACTTAGGCTCTCTCTACGATTTTCTAAATCTTTTTTTATCTTCTGTGAACGGTTTTCTTCATCATGTACTGATTTCCTGAGAAAATCCCTTTGTTGATCAAGTTCAGTCAAAAGATTCTGTGTATGCTTTTCAACTTCATTCTTTAATACTCTTTCCCTGTTCAGAATTTTCTGCCTCTCTGTTTCATATTTGGATTCTTCAGATGATTCCTTTAAACCCAGTTTAGATAAACCTTTTTCAATTTGTGAAATGTTGTCTTCAACTTCAGTATGAAAATTAGTGACAGCTTTCACTGTCAACTTATATCCTTCATCTAATCCTGTCATATTGTGTTTGTTATGGGCTTTAAGAATACATAAGGGACATATAGCTTCCTCACATGTATGGCAATACAGACAACAGTTTTGTCCATTATGAACACTACATGGGATATTACTTATGTCTGGTTGATCGTTGACTTCTTGTTGATATGTAGCAATGTCCTTTGTGTCTATGATTGTATGTTGGTCAGTAGATTTCACTTTCTGATGAAGTTTCTGACATTTTGTACACAAGAGAAAGTCACATTGTATACATTTCCATTTGATCTCATTAGATTCCTCACACATTTGGCATGACAGTGGAACTTGTCCACTCTGAAGAGATTTTGATAATGCCATCATGTAGATCTAAGTCCATAAAACTTTTGCTTTTTGTTCTCATTATAACTGGAAAATACTATGGCACATGATTGTTCAAGTATTTACAGTGTCATTTGAATCCTTGATACAATTAATTGTTATCAAAGAAATAATCTTTCATATATAATATACTAACAGATAACAATTAATTCAAATTTGAGGACTGTATTGTAAATAGGATATTACTACTCAGACATGTTCTTGTGTTTATATCCTGTGCTAACTATATCTTCCTGATGTCAGATTTTTCTCATACAGAAGACTTTTAAGTAAAAGATATTAGTAACTGGTACACACATGTGTTTTACTCCTAGGCGAATCTGTTTGGAGTTGATGAGGCTGATCCTACTCATTTGATTGACAGTACTTTGGGAGATTTTGACCTCACAGATAACATTTAAAAAAGGAAGAGACCTCCATCTCTTGATGCAAAAATCAGAATTAAAGTGCACTGCGCATGCCTATTTCCTAATTAAATTTTTTTTTCTTGTTTTTTGGGGGCTTTTTTGTTGTTGGATTGATGTCTAATTGACTTATACCCCTTATTTCCTTTTATTCATATAAAAAAGAAGACCCTTTCAATCCATAAGTCTGCTTAATCCTTCCTATAGACAAAATCTACTTCCTGTAGGGTATTTGTTTTTTGCTCTTGCTATTTCCTTGTATACATCTTTTTATGTTTCATTTCTTATTTTTCCAAAACTTTTTTCTTTGTTGTTTTCTGAAAACATTTGGAAAAGGGAAACAAACAAAATATTTTTCCCAATTGAGAAACACGTCAATAATCAGCAGACAAATTTCATGCTCTTCTTGGAAAATCAACCTGTCAAAATGGTTGTCATTGTATTCATCTCATCAAACAAATATCTCTCATAACACTGATCCAGTGTTGTGGAAATCATAATGTCCTAAATGGTCAATGGCATAAGACTGTTGTGCATAAACAATAGAGGGATTTGTCTCTAAGTAACTTAAAAGTTTTGCATGCATGTCAATTTGTCATTAACGTACAGCTAGACACTAATATAGTTTGAATGGTAAAAGTAATACATGAATGATGTGTAATTGAACAGGGTTTTGTCCAGAAGTGACAATTGTTTTCTGTAACTAGCACATATTTTTTTCCTTTTTGGAGCATGAACACATTTTTTTGTTAATCATGATATAGTAATAATTGAATCTTTAATCATTTCAGCTATGAAATCCAAGTTATAGATGATGTCAGAAGAAAAGGCATAGGGAAATTTATTGTACAGATATTAGAATTAATTGCATATCAGTAAGTATAACTATTCTGATGTGAACAAGAAAATAAGAGCTGTTTGAGTCAGTTAAAACAAGAACCAAAATATATTGGTTTTCAAAATTTTCAAAAGTTGTCTCACATTAGTTAATACCATATATGCACATCTATAATGTTACAAGAGCACCTTTATTCGTAACACATTTTCCATAGGGTACCAGTGGTGTTCCATATTTTATTTCTTGAAGGCTACACACAAACTAGAAAAATATGGGAAGCAGTTCATTTTACAAGAAATGTCAGCGTTATATAACAGCCATCAGTGGTTCCCATGGCTTTGAGAATTCAACTGGACATTTGGTCCAGTAACCATTCGTCTTAACTGGACCAGACTCTTTTTTACAGGACATTTTCACTTATGATTTGGACAAAATTTGATCCATAAATTCATATCACTTAACTGGACCAAACCAATTTTTATCGGCCTTTGCCAAATGTCTGGAGACCTTTGGAATGACTGAGCCAAAAAAATATATATGGTCATGGGGCAAAAGTTTACTTAAAATGCATTTTTTTTGCTAAATGGGAAAAGCATTTTATTAATGGCTCCTTCATATATACATAAATTGAATGTATTTTCTACAGTTTGTACAATATGAATTGATTTTTTTTTATTTTTTAAACCTAAATGGATAAGTTTTTGATGAGAAGTAATTCCAACCCAGAATCATCCACTCAGGAGCCGCACACGATTTTATTCTAAGTACCATCTTGCCATGATCTTGGGGTTGAATACTTGCTGGTAAAATGTAAATAAATAATAGGCTCTGGTACAGGATGGGGAGGATCCTCATAAATGGGTACTATCCTCATTTATGGGTATTATACCTCAAAACGGGTATCAATTTTCAGTGATAAAAATATAAACTTTGGATTTACAGATATTTTCTGTCATGGCACAAACTTTCAGTTAAAGGACAACATTTTGCCTCAAGACAGTCACACCATGACTGAAATATCATCAGGATAAAAGTTAACAGCCTTTAAAAATAAGGATTTTTGGAGGCCATTATCCTTGTATTCAGTTCTCATTTAAACTATGGTCTTACAGGAAAAAATGTTGCCATTCATATAAATATTTGCGCCATGACAGCTATCATGATGAACTACAAAATTTGATATTTTGTCACTGTAAACTGATACCTGATTTTGAGTATAATTCCCATCAATGGGGATAGTACCCATTTATGAGGATCTTCCCCAACTTGTTGTAACCATAAGTACCAAGTGTCAATGGAGTTGAGGTTTGACATATCAAAAAATTTTAATACTAGTACAAGCTGTATTGAAATATGTAGGAGAGAACTAAAGAATTTTTATTGGATCATACATCTCATTCAATTGCAATAAATGACATTGTAGAATGGTTATGACTTGGTTGGTATTTATAGGTTTCATGATAATGAGTTAGAATTGGATATTACTTGATATGAACTCAAGTTATTTAATTTCAATATAATAATACTACAGTAAAGTTTATTTTTACTATTTGAATTAAATAACGATAGTAGATGTCAAGCGATATCCAATTTTGATGACTTGTTAAACCTATTTCTCTTATGGAAAAAATTTTCTTTGACTGATTGAGGCAAAATAAAATATATGTCTGTTTAGAGGTTACATCATAAAAAAAGATAGGTAGGTAGATCGGTATTTCTATTTTATTTCTTGCGACATGATTTTGAGTGTGCGGTTCATATTGTCGTGGATCGAGTTGTCCATGGCCCGAGTTGACCCATATTTTTAATGATTTTATTATTCCCTTGGTTATTGGTTGGAAAAAAATGGTGACAAAGTGTTCATTTCATCAAACGAGTCGCGAGTTTCTTTAAGGAAACGGCTGTCATATTCACGATTGGGATGTATCAGGCAATTGATTAAATTTATTGGCAACACTTTGCTCTTTACAACAGAAAATAAAATGACTTAGGGTCGGTTGGGTAACCGTAAACAGACATATATTTTTTTTTTTTGCCTGATCTTGTCTTTTACACATACCAGTATGACGTCATATATCCTGTTCCAGCGTCAAGCTTTTATTTTATTTAAAGGTTTCATAACGAATTGGAATTGAACATCAATTGATATCAACTCAAGTTATTTAATTTCAATATAATAATAAATGAGCCTAATGCAAGTTTATTATTACTATTTGAATTGAATAACTATAGTTGATATCAAGTGATATCCAATTCTCAATTCTCTTATGGTGAACATTGTCTTTGTGTTAAATAGAGAAGTCTGACTCATTGATCTTTTGCACATAACAGTATGACGTCATATGTCCTGTTCCGGCATCAAAATTTAACCTCAGACATTTTATAACTTTTTGCACGCTTTAGAATGTAATAAAATTTGACAAAAATAAGATTTTCTGGTGATAGGTGTGAGTGTTTTGTATATTATTGAAGAAATAACCTATCTGGGTTGCCATGGGGGAAAATAAATCGTTTTGACCTTTGAAAGTCATCAATGACCTAACGAATAACAAATGGAAATGTTGCAATTTTGTTTCATGATGCTGGATATGCCAATCAAATTAACACATATTTTCCTACCACTCTTTCGTATCACACTTGGTGCAGTGTGATACAAGAAATATCTCTTCATGTGAGAAATAGGTTACATGCTACGACCATAAGAGAAAGACATTTTCATGATTAAAATGTCTTGAAGCAGTCTTTACTCTTTTAACAATAGAATATGATATTATTATGATTTTGGTTTTTGGTGGAAGAAGACTTCAAGTCTTCTGAGAGCCTTTACTGCCGGCTGTAAAATCATTGAACCGTCACCAGGACGTATGCCGTGTCCCTTTCTGTGCTTTACAATTTCATAATAACTTCCGTGCCATATCTTGACACCGATGTTTACACATGATCTAAGCATCTGCATCATTTAATTTATTAGTTAGGCTTGAAAAACGATCACTATCGTTAGTGTTATAATTTCTCATGTTTTAATGTATAAATATCAACCCTTTTATTTATGTAAATTATTAGATTTCATCTGATCTTACATGAACGTTATTTATTTACTGTAACCGCCCTGATTACATGTTCGCCCTTGGTCCGTTCGCCCTGAGTTCGTCCCCATAGAGTACATTCACCCTGGGTTCCTTCTCCTTACTTTTATCGTGGAAGTATTATATTGACTGCTTTTATCAAGGACGTTTTATACGTTCTTGCAATTATTAAAAAATAATAATATTATGGGTATCAAAGTTTAATAAACTTATTCGGATATTTATATGGTATAAATTCTCGAAATTCAGAACCACGTTGGTTACGTATCTGCGCATGTGCACAAATGGGAAATTTAACTGTGCATCTGAAAGTTTCAAAATAATGATAAACAGAATTGTCATATATTCATACAATCCATCTTGAGTTAAAGTCAAGTATATACGTGGAGAGTACGACTTCAAATCAATGATGCTTGAAAAAATACACGGATTTAGTTGTTCCGTCTGCGTTCAGATCTTTAATGCAATCAATTAAATCATATTCCAGTTTTAGACAACATGTGCTTTTTAAAACGAAAGTTAGAATATTTAAGCATGTTATTGTGATAATAAAGAGTCAAGCGCACACGTGAATCTGCTGGTGTTTTACACATCAAACGATGCACCGTCTGTTGACAGAAATATCAATGTACAAACTAATGTCTGTTGACGGATTCCATTTCGAAAGTACGTAGTTTTCATGTCGATCATTGTCGGAATGTCCCCACTATGATTGCCTTTATTGCCTTAATACGTTTCAAAGTTTTAGAAGTGATAAAAAACGGGATTTAAGAACTGAATAGTCCAGCTCTTTACCATTATTCGTCATTAAGGTACACACATTATTGAGGCTCGAGTACGGAACTAGTAATTCGTTACTGTCAATAGTTTTATTTTCATGAAAAATTTCAGAAAAGGCCTGTGTGACTCCTGACGGAAAATGCCATTCCTACCCTCATATTTTTGTGTAAAAATATTAGACGAAAAACAAATATCATATATATGGGTCAAGCACTTTAAATGAAGGGGTTTGAAATGCTAAAAGAGTCAAGCGCACACGTGATTCTGTCAACTGACGGTGCATCGTTTGATGTGTAAAACACCAGCAGATTCACGTGTGCGCTTGACTCTAAATTATCGCTATAACATAGCAAGGTCATCACCTGACATGACCAGTCAATCCGTGGCCTGACACATATCTGTATTGGATATATTTAGAATTTTTCAATATTTGTTTATAATGAAAAACCCTAGTTTAAGCAAAGTTGACTAAAATCTTGGTGGCCAGTTTTTTTTCAAGTTAACTATCTGCCTTTGACAGAAAACTTTCAAGTGAAACCAAATCAATTACTGTTATAATTGCTTGGCGAAATTGCATTGCATCAAGTTGACCATGCTGAGACGAATGTATGGAATTTAGTTATAGAAAATTTAATTTGAATCAACAGTATTTGCAGATTTTTATGTTAAGTATAGTGAGTTTTGGTTGAGTTATGAGTATTATTATTTTTGGAAGAAAAAAATACGTCGAAAGCAATAATGGGACAAAGCAGGCTGGGTTGGTGGGGGCTGCTTTTATTGTAATTCAAGTTACCTTTTATGCATCTTCTTCCACCTCAGAGCAATCAGCTCTTTGATTAATATGTATTAGGTCCTCTTTCCCATAAAATCCCCCATGGAGGTTTTGAAAATTTGGTAGGTATTCATATATTGATATTTCTTATTCTTATTTTTTTCAGAACAGAGATGGTAAAGGTGATGTTAACAACATTTAAACATAACAAAGTTGCTCAGGGTTTCTTTAAAAACACAATGAAGTAAGTTAACAACATTTAAACATAACAAAGTGGCTCAGGGTTTCTTTAAAAACACAATGAAGTAAGTTAACAACATTTAAACATAACAAAGTGGCTCAGGGTTTCTTTAAAAACACAATGAAGTAAGTTAACAACATTTAAACGTAACAAAGTGGCTCAGGGTTTCTTTAATTTTAACTTAAAAAAGTTTAAAAACACAATGAAGTAAGTTAACATGTTAGTCTAATCAATTACTATTGGATGTCTCAAAATTTGATATTTTCTGAAATTGATATCATTATCATATGCTTGATGGATGGTTTTTGTCTCCGTATGCAAGACTAAGGTATTACTATCCGGCAGCGGCGTAAACTATTTGTATAAAGCTTTATATTTCAGAAGGTAGAAGACCTGGATGCTTCATATCTTGTATGCAGATACCTTATGTTACAAAGTTTCCATCTGTCATATGTCCATTGTCCTTGACCTCATTTTTATGGTCCAGGGAATGTATGAAAAAAAATTATAGTTTTTTTGTCATGTGAATTTCTCATTTATTATGAGTAATAGGATATGAAACTATATTTGGTATATGGGTTCCTTGCAACACCTACATGTCTGCCAGACAGGGTTCACCTGACCTTGACTTCATTTCATGGATCAGTCATCAAGGTTAAAGTTATGTGATTAGGTCTGTTTCTCAAATACTATAAGCAGTACTAGTAGGTCAACTATATGTGGTGTATGGAATGATTTTAGTGGGTACATGTCAGTCTGGCAAGTTTCATCTCACCTTGACCTCATTTTCATGGTTCATTGGCCATTGCTAAGTTTTTTTGCTTTGGCCTGTTTTTCAAGTACTATAAGCAATAGGTCAATTATATTTGGTGTATGGAACGATTGTAAGTTGTAGATGTCTGTCTGGCAGATATCTTTGACCTTGACCTCATTTTCATGGTTCATTGGTCAATGTTAAGTATTTGTGTTTCTGTCTGTTTTTCAAATAATAATAGTAATAGGTCAACTATATTTACTGTATGGAATAACTGTAAGGTGTACATGTATGTCTGGCAGGTATAATCTGACCTTGACCCCATTTTCATGGTTCATTGGTCAATGTTATGTTTTTAACCGGATTTTCGAAGGAAAAATCGGTTATTGATTTGGGGATGTACGGCCGGCGGGCGGCTGCCAAACTGTGTCCGTTAATTATCATTCAAACCCTTTGACGATTTTTTTTTCAAATTTTGATATGTTGTTTCCTGTGACTAAATGAAGGTCAAGTTCAATTTTCACAATTTTAGCTTTTCTCGTTTTTGAGTTGTCGACTTTTTAGTATCCAGAAGTTATAATTATTATGTGATTGAGTTATTTCCCTTTGAACAGAAATTGTGATTTGCAAATATCATTTTCGTTAGATAATAATCTATTTTTATTAAAGGATATATTTCATTACATTACATTGTGTAGCTAAAATTGTTGCCATTGATAGATAAGTTGCAGATCTATATTAATTAGTTTGTGACAAATGAAAGAAAAAATATTGGGAACTGTTAATTATATATATAAAGTTTGTTTACACTAAGTGTTTTTAAATAATTTTCACCTGTTAATAGATAACAAAGCATCTGGTAAATATCTTATCACACAATTATAATTGGAGTGACAGATTTATTTGAAAATTTTCTGTTTCCTTAGTGTTAATGATAAGATCTGTAGGACTGTATAAATAAAGTTTGAAATTTACTGTTCATTATAAGACATTTTGAAGATAATTACAGATAAGTTTTATAGATTTTTAATAGATATTGTATGATGATAAATGACATTTTGTATTTTTTTCTTCTTTTCTTTTGTAAATTGTTTGAAGAATTTTGTGGTTGGTTTGTTTGTTATTCTGTATAAACTTATTTTCTGAATGCTATATATATTTGATTATAATTTGAAAATATATAACATCATATCTAATTTTAGAGAACTATTTGTTTATAATTTATTCAGTTTGAGTTATTTCCCTTTGATTAGAAAATTAATAAGTATATGGATAACATTAAACTGTCTTTCATTTCAACATAAATTAAATATATATAGGGTTCTTTCAAATGCTGAATCTAAACCTGTATTTAAATATTGGATTTTTGGGCCCAGTTTTCAAGTCGGTCCAAATTAGGGTCCAAAGTTAAACTTTGTTTGATTTCAACAAAAATTAAATTTATGGGGTTTTTTGAAATGCTGAATCTAACCATGTATTTAGAGATTTTGGATTTTGGGCTCCTTTATCAAATTGGTCAACATTGAGGTCCAAAGGGTTCTAAATTAAACTTTTGTTTGATTTCATCAAAAATTGAATTCTTGGGGTTCTTTGATATGCTGATTCTAACAATGTACTTAGATTTTGGATATTGGACCATAATAGGTAAATGTCCAATTTCAAATTTTTCAGTTCTTTGACCACATTCATTTTTGTGTTTTGGATTGTTTTTCAATTACCTTAAGCAATAGGTCAACTATATTTGGTTTTTAAAAATACCATTGTCGCAGGCGAGACAAAAACCATCCATCAAACATATTCATATCAATTTCAGAAAATATTAAATTTTGAGACATCCAATAGTAATTCTGGAACAACAGAGACATATATAAGTTGTATTGTAAGGTGTATATGTCTGTCTGACTGGATTTATCTGACCTTGACCTCATCTCATAGATCTTCAAAAATGTTAAGCTTATGTGATACTTTCAAAATAAAATCAATGGTCAGTAAAGCCGGCGAGACATTTCAGCATGTGCATTCTTGTATGTTACCTGTTGGGAGAAAAACTATTTACACATTGAGTTTGAGCATACTGAGCCATGTTGCAACATCGTATTGATTTTCAGTTTGAAAATAAAGGGTGTGTGGATAGAATAAAAACACCATTAATTTGGGAGAGAATAGTTTCATTTTTAAAATGATTGGATTCCTTATAAATAATTTATTTTTTACAGCTTTTCATCTTTGTCTTTCATACATAACTTATAACTTATAATTATACCTTCCACAAGCAAAGTTGTGTGGGGTATATAGGAATCAGCCTGTCTGTCTGTGTATATGTCCAAACTAACTTTTGAGCCCTTTTTAGCTCACCTAGCCCGAAGGGCCAAGTGAGCTTTTCTCATCACTTGGCGTCCGTCGTCGTTAGCTTTTTACAAAAATCTTCTCCTCTGAAACCACTGGGCCAAATTTAACCAAACTTGGCCACAATCATCATTAGGGTATCTAGTTTTAAAAATGTGTCCGATGACCCCGCCAACCAACCAAGATGGCGGCCATAGCTAAAAATAGAACATAGGGGTAAAATGTAGATTTTGGCTTATATCTCTGAAACCAAAGCATTTAGAGTAAATCTGACATAGGATAAAACTGATTATCAGGTCAAGATCTATCTGCCCTGAAATTTTCAGACAAATCTGACAACCTGTTGTTGGGTTGCTGCCCCTGAATTGGTAATTTTAAGGAAATTTTGCCGTTTTTGGTTATTATCTTGAATATTATTATAGATAGAGATAAACTGTAAACAGCAATAATGTTCAGCAAAGTAAGATCTACAAATAAGTTGTCATGACCAAAATTGTCAGTCGACCCCTTTAGGAGTTATTGCCCTTTATAGTCAATTTTTAACAATTTTTTGTAAATGTTTGTAATCTTTTACAAAAATCTTCTTCTCTGAAACTACTGAGACAAATTTAAACATACTTGGCCATAATCATTATTAGGGTATCTAGTTTAAAAAATTTGTCCGATGACCCCGCCTTCTAACCATCATGGCTGACTTGGTTAAAAATAGAACATAGGGGTAAAATGCAGTTTTTGGTTTATATCTCTGAAACTAAAGCATTTAGAGCAAATCTGACAGGTGGCAAAATGTTCATCAGATTTAGATTTATCTGCCCTGAAATTTTCAGACGAATCCGCCAACCCGTTGTTGGGTTGCTGCCCTCGAGTTAGTAATTTTACAGAAATTTTACAGTTTTTTGTTATTAATTTAGATATCATTAAAATATCTAATATCTAATACTATTAATTATGATTTTAACCTTATTTTGCATGATTTCCAAAGCATCAGTAAATACAGGTGAGCGACACAGGCTCTTGAGAGCCTCTAGTTTCAATTTAGACCAACTTTGTACAAGTACAGATTACTATGGTCAACTTTGAAGCACAAATGATTCTTTTGGTCTCTTTAGTACTTCCAGAATTGGGCCGCCTAATTATACTATTCAGTATGCACTTTGTAGATGCAACATCTCCTGCGTGCTTTATTAGATGTTCATTAAACTTTGTACAGTGTAAGATCGTAACATTTTTCATGTACAATTTAGAATGGCATTCTGGAGTTATGCCTATTTGAACTTTATAATTTTTTTATACTATTCACCATGCACTTTGTGGACACAATTCATCCTATGTGCTTCATCAGATGTTCGTGAAACTTTGTACAAGCTCCTAACATGAAGATGCACATCACAATTTTCACAATAATGAATATATTTCAAAAAAATTATGAATTTTTAGTATTGTGATATAATTTTACAGGTATATTAGAAAAATAAATCATCTTAATGCATATTGTGTTATAATTTTACAGGTACTCAAAAGGGTAATTAACTTAATGCTTATTGTGTTATAATTAAACGGGTACATAACAAAATAAATAATCTTTATGCATCTATTGTGTTACAATTTTACAGGTACGTCATAGATGAAATCTCACCAGAAGATCCATTATTTGAGGAGGGCTATCATTATGAAATACTCAGTAAACCAATCAAACAGAAACCAAACAAGACAGGTGATGCCAGTAACGCCCAATCAAATAAAGCTGTTGTAGAACCAATGCAGACATCACCTGTCAAAGCATCGTAGCAGACGCATAAAGGCCTGATCTGATTGGACAAGAATTTGAATGAATATTCATTCCATGAACAAAATTCACTCAATATTAAACATCTATAGATGGTTGTGATATTCCACATACATTGAGATACAATTTTGTAAGAGCTGTGTATTTCATTGATCATGTACATTTCAAAAATAAAATTGTTACATTTTCATGATGGTTTGGAAGTTAATAGGTCAATCACATTACAAAGGTATTTTCAATTTACTGATTGACAAGATTCTATTAGAGAGTGCAATGATGACTATACCACCAATCCCCCCCCCCCCAACCCCCCCCCCCTTCCCCCCCCCCCTCCCCCCCCCCCCCCCCCCCCCCCCCCCCCCCCAAAAAAAAAAAAACACAAAACAAAACAAGCAAAAAAACTGCTGAATTATGACATTTATGAGTTAGCTATTAATTTTTTGTAAGGGGGTATCATAGTCTTTGGTAAAACAAATAAATTTTTTTGTTAATTTTTTAATTCCAAATATTAATGTGACATGAGCTGCCAAATTCATGCCCACTGAATGACTCAATTCCTCAGATTTGAGTTTACAACATACTGTCTGGCCGGTTTCACTTTACATTTACCTCGTTTAAATAGTAATTGATAAACAAGTTTTCCTGATTGCACCAGATGCTCAGTTTAAGTTACAGCGGTCATCTATATGTGTTGTATACAATCACGTTACGTTGTACATGTCCATCTTGCATGACTTAATTTTCATGGATCATTGATTATGTTAAGTTTCTGTGATATATGTGGTAAGACCTTAATAGAGACTTTCAGCATAAAATTAGACCTAAGCATGCGAGTCATTTCAGCGTGTGCATTCTTGATTTATATATATATATAAACAAAACCATTATACGATACGGTTTTCAAGGGGGAAATTTTAGGACTCGATATTGACCATTGAATGTTCTGATAATGGAATTTTGTTGCAGAAGTAACAATTTGAGTGTCCAAAATAATCCAAATCAGTTATAAAACCTATGTTTTGCAAATGAAACAGAAGACAAATATTTGTACTTGGTCAGAGCTGTTACCTCTAACTGATCTGTATATGAAATAATCGGAAAACCTTGTTAAGCTTTTTCGAAATGTTTGAAAATGATTTTCCCGCGACATAGGAGGCAATAATTGGGAAATCTTGTTTTCTCGAGCTATTTTAAGAGTTTTCTTTGAAAAAAACATAACACACACTTTTAATGTATTCATTTCAAAATATTTATTTGTAAGAGGTATACTCGAATGAAAATATTCGAAAAAATCAGAACCTTGTAATACTAGTATAATTAAATAGTGCACATGTATGGTGAAAGTTTTTAAAATCAAGGAACCGCCTTGGTGGTAGTGTGCTTACCTCGAGTGTGAAGGTCTTTGGTTTTATCCCAGCCAGGTTCAAATGGTGTTTGCAGGTAAGTTCGGATTGAGTTGCATTTCTTTCTGCATACAACTTGTGGACTTACAAAATCTTACAACAAGTTTCAGCTGAACTTAACAGCTACACTATCAATGATCCGTGAAGATGACGTCAAAGACAGTCGGACATGCCTTTTTTATACACCTTGCATTCATTCTTGAATATTCCAAATATAGTGGTCCAATTGTTTATAGTGTCTGAGAAACGTATCTAATCATTAAATCTGAAAATTGACAATGAACCATGAAAATAAGGCCATGGTTACATGAATCCCACCAGACAGACATTGAGTACGCTATACCAACTAAAGTTTACTTACTGCTAAAGTTTCTGAGAAACAAACCTAATTCAAAACGGTCTTATATTCCGGACATTTATAAATTTACCGGACATTGTCTGTCTGGGAAAAGCCTGAAACGGTCATCTACTTTTAGTTTTTAAGGCTTCCTTAAGAGACGGTCATTTTAACAGAATTTAAAAAAAATTGGAAGTTCGATCTTTTTGACCCGACCTTTTGCCTTAAACAGTCACACATTTCAGGTCATTAAAATGACATGATGATTAAGTACTATCAAAACAAACCCTACTTTAATACCTTATAATATAGAAGGTCAAATGAAGTCTGTCAGACACAAATATATGCTTTGCAATGCTTCTTTATATCAAATATAGAAAATGTGCATGATTAAAAAATACCCAAACAGCTTTCAATTAGTCACTGAACCGACCATGAAATGAGGTCACAGTCAAATGACTGACTTATATAGTGTTACATGGATGGATACCCCATATCCATTCTTTTCTATTGTAATATGAAATATCCAGGTCTTGCACCTTCTAAAGAATAAAGTTTTCTACAGAAAAAGGTTAATGCCATTGCTGCCAGATTAGCACCCATGTGTTTCGCATCTGCCGCTTTCGTCGCAGGTGAAACAAAAAGGAAATATGTGATTGCCAATGAACCACTATGAATCAGAGACCAAAGGACAATGAAGTGTACACTTACAGGATACTGTACGGTCTTCAACAATAAGTAAAAATCATGCTGTTTAGTAATTATAAAAGACCCTGAGATCACAAAAAATGTTAAACTATTCAAAAGCTCGAGAGATTCTTAAAATTATGCCATTAAAACCAATGATAATCATTGGATTGCATGCCTCATAAAGAATGTGATAGGGTTTTTAGTATGTTTGTGAGCCTCCAACACTCCCTTCAGACTTCGGACAGTTGTGTATCAGCACTTAAAAGGAACATTAAAAGTAAGTTTAAAATGGCTGGACTCATCAGATAGGTACTACAAGTAAGAAACAATAAAAAGTCTACACAGTAACAATACGGTCCGTGTTTGGTTTATGAATTCATCATAAATGCACAGGCAGTTGTCATTGGAATTGAATATTGCTCGTCAAATAACGTTACTTTCGGATGCTTTTTGTCTTGCCTGCGCAGAATGAGCAACAAAAGGGTGACTATCCGCGGCGGCGTAAATTATTTGTATGAAGCTTTATATTTCAGAGGGTAGAATACCTGGAAGCTTCATACTTTGTATACAGATGCATAATGTTACGAAGTTTTCATCTGTCATATGTCCATTGTACTTGACCTTATTTTCATGGTTAAGCGACTGTTTAAAAAATATATATTTTTTTTGTCATGTGAATTTCTCACTTATTATAAGTAATAGAATAACTATATTTGGTATATGGGTTCCTTGCAAGGTTTACATGTCCGTCAGACATAGTTCAATTCACCCTCAATATTAGGTTTTCATGGTTTGGTCTGTTTCTTGGATGCTATAAAAGTGAGACGAAAGATACCAAAGGGGCATTTTAACTCATAAAGTCGAAAATAAACTGTCAAGGCAAAAAATAAAAGACTAAAAGACAAACATCAGTATACAAAACAACATATAAGCAATATGTCAACTATATTTGGTGTATCGAATGATTGTACGGTATATAGGTCTGTCTGGCAGGGATTATCAGAACTTGACCTCATAGTCATGGATCATTAATAAATGTGCGTTTATGGAATGTTTGTAGTGAAACTTTATTTCTAAGACTTTCAACAGAAAACCAATCATTGTCAGTAAAGCAGGCGAGACATTTCACCGTGTGCACTATTGTTATATGTAAATCCATTAGATATGAAATGATTTTGATAGTTTTGTATGTGTGCAGCAGAAGGTTGAATGAAATTCTCTGCCAGTAGCATTGAGATGTTATATCCGAAATAACCATTTCATAGATCCTGCTTTTTAATATATTTCTCATGCATTACATTTTGTTTCTGTGAGTCATATCCTGGGATGCATGCATAGCAAAAGATGCCTACCTTGTAGACGCGCACAGTCTTGCTATTCTTAAAGTTCATTTTATTCCCTTAGATTTTGTCTTGATTTAACTATATATAATTGTCTTCATAAATGATTTGTAAGCTTTAAACATTGGTAAAATTGTGTTGCCTAAATTTATTAATGCAAAATATACAGATCCATTTTAAATTCTGATAACATTATTGGTATGTATAGCAATTCCTAAATTACAGTTTATTATTCTGTGAATGAAGGGAGATACATCAACCAAATATAACCAAAAAAATAAAGATCTAAGGGTCTATACATGGTCTTAAAAAAAACAATTGTATAATATGTCAATCTCGGACTTTTCCAAATTCTTGGAAAATTGTGAATAGATTCATCAGACACTTTATAAGATCAGCCTTTTTTCAGTTGTTCAGTTGTAGCTTTTAAACTCAGCTTTTAAATAACCCACATAATACTTTATGAATATGAAATACAGTTTATTGTAAGTAAAAACATTAATACAAGGGAGTAATCAAAATCAGAATCCAAACACAAGTACACATTTTAACCTTTTCTGACAGTTTAGGTTTTATATTTGTATTTATCGCTTTTTTGTGTATTTTTCCTTTCATCGTTTTTTGTGATCTTTTTTTTATTATGCCTTTCGCTTGAGATGGAAAATTTTGTCAGAAACTAAGGGTGCATGTGCCGTTATCAATGTAAACATCAACAATGTCATTCCAATTGGCAAAATAGTGATAAACAGATTATCAATGGTCTTTCAAACTCGAGAATGTTTCTCGGCCACATCTCGCCTTGGGATGAGATTGTAGCTTAGAAACACCCTCTCATTGAAAACCATCATTAGTCTTGAAGTACTACAGTAAAGCTATGTACAGTGTACCTGTATTGTCAATGTCTGCAGAGTATGGTACTGTAAATTCAGAAATCATTGCGTGCATTCATCATTGCTCTTTTGTCATTTTAGACCAATATGCGATTATCATTTTTTGCAATTCTGGGAAAAATTCGGCTCCATTCATATAAAAAAAATCCAAAATGCGAGCTTAAATTATTGGAATTACAACCCTGTCGCATTTTTCGCAATAATAAAAACATCTCATTAATTTCTGAATTTACAGTAAAATAATGTTTAGGTAATGAATTCACTGTCCTGAAGTGTTAATGTGAATGTCAGTCTCTGTATTTATAAAATTGTTTAATTTTAAATATAGTCAAATTACCACACTCACAATTTCAGAATCCTGAAACTTGAACAGTATATAATTTTGCCTCAGGTTTACTGTTGTATGTACTACAGCCTATGTATAATGAACCTTTATTGTCAATATCTAAAGAGAATGGTAACTCAAAACCTAACTGATCTTTGGTGTTCAAGTAATGAATGCACTGTCCTGAAGTATTGAGGATATGA